ATTACAGCCGTTAGAGTGGTCACTTGTCCTGAACAGCTGCTGAATTTCACTTTGGTTGGCTGTGAACCATAAAAAAATTAGTCATCTGTGTATGATTTCCCCCTAACCCATAAGCCCTTGCAGAGCTAAGGATATGATCTTTTGGCTGTACTAGGGCACTGCTGAGCAGCCATCTTGTTTCTGGTTGTGGCTGCTTTCCACTCGCTAACAGCAGCACAGTAGCCTAATTAACTTTTGCCCTCCACTGCCATTTACAGCTTTCATTCTTTGCTAAGTAGCACATCTTCTGAATTTATGGCATGTGCATGTGCATTCCTCCATTTATTCTCACCCTGTTTTCTTAGATTGCAGTCCATTTCCAAGGCATCTGAAACAGGCATGTATAAAAAAGTTTCACCAGTCCCTCTCTTGCGGCTATAATGTTCATTCCTTCTTCTGTAAAGAAGTTGTCATGTACAGTCCTGCCTACTGCATTATTGAATAATGTTATGTATGAGGAAGTTAATTACCACGTGGTATCTCATCTCTAATGCTACCAAACGTTCACTGGTCAATACGAAGAATCAGGAATGAAGGATCACACATGGATATATCAAGTTCTTCTGAATGTGATGAATAGAAAGGAATTAACTCTGGATGCAAGATTCCAGATACCTGTAAAATCCTGCATAGGTGGCACATGTATATGGCAGTACTGGCGACTTCAGATTATTTCTGGTATATTTTATATGGAGCTTTTCAGCAAGTAGATGTTATTTATTATTACTATTCTGGTTATATGTTCTATATACAAATTACTGTCTGGTTATAACAACATAATCATGCAAGTCAAAGCCTTATCCTCCTACCAAAGTCTCTATTATTATTGCTATTCTGCAATATGTCTACAGATTTCCCTACCAGAGATGAAGCACCTGCCAAGAGAACCTTGGCCAGTGTAGTTATATACTATCTCCTCAAATAATGTAAGGTAAGCCAACATACGTTCTCAACCGTTAGCATAGCTGCATCCAAACCAGAGGCTTTGCTGGTGCAGTGATATCAGCTAAAAGACATGTTAATATTTTACACTCCAGGCTGACATAGCTATGCCAAAAAAAGCGTTGCAGGATAAATCTGGCCTGAGAGCTTCATACTGCAAAACGGAATGTGAGTAGACCTGTGCTTCTAGGTAGGCACAGGTGTAGGATTTCCCAGGAATAAGGCCAATCATGCTTACACCTATCTCCTGCATCCTGTAACAAGCGCATTGTACTTTTAGTTACACTCTGCTGAGGTGGCCTTGACACACTGCAGCCTTGGTTCTACATAATAATAATGGGGGTCACTGGCCAATGCAGGCAGAGTTTTTCTTTATGACCCTCACCTTTGGATGCTTATTCTTCTCCATGCACATTCTAACAGCTATATCTTCTTATATTTTTTACTCATCTTCTTGGCTTTGAACTCTCCGATTCATGATAAATAACCAAATACTTGATACAATTGTCATGGGAGAAATAGCATCGCACACCTGCAAAACATCTACCAAGCAGAAGTCCAAACTTACCCACAGTTTTACCTCACAGCAACATTTGGAATACAACAGCTAAAGAGCTCTGATGCTTTGATGCCGTTTGGCAGGTACTGGCTTTATAATGAAATCAGCTCTGGGTCCTATGTTCACAAGCTTAAGCCCTAAGTTCACAAGAGTGAGAAGTTTGCTTTGACAATCTAGCCACGTTATGCAGATTTCTGGAAATGAGAACTTACTGTCAATCCATTCCTCTATAAACACATCGGTCTCACGTTAATGCTGCCAATAAGGCACTAACTAACATTCTTGCTTTAGAGGGTTAAAATGAACTGAGAAGACATTGTGGGAGACACTTGTACTGTTGTAACCACTCTTGACTTGACTTTGTTCTGCAAATAAACCAGAATGTCAGTTTAACTTGCTGTCACCTAACATCTGTCACTACACTCCTGGCCAAACAAGCCGAGGAAATGGGTGACACTGCTCTTTAACTGTGAAGCATCAAAGTGGCTTACATGTACATCACCTTCTTCTAAAGGTGGAGGGAATCTTGCTTTCATCTGAGTGGCAGCAGCTTTTCCTCTCAGAACTGAATTCTCATTTTTATCCCCATAAGCAGCGCAAAATTTCAAGAGGTCAGTGATAACCTTAAGGTACCGGACAGCCATACCTTTGACACATTAATTCCACTACAGATTAAGGCACCTTAACTGGGGAGTGAATAGCTGCATTTTGGGAAGGTAGAGCAGATAAGTCTGTCAAATGGTTTGAAAACCCAAAAGATGCTTCTCATTTCGCTCTGGAAATGGATGGAAATGAAGCTGTCAAATTAGCACAGTCTGCAGAGATATTAGCAAAAGCTTAATTTGTATCCTGTAGTGTCACAAGGACAGTGTTTCTACTTTAGGTTTTAGTCAAGCTTTATGTCCTGTGGCAGGCAACCAGGGTGCAACCAGCAAGAGCAAGGGTGGGATTTGCTACCCTGACTCTAGCACTGCTTTTTTTCTGGAATTATCTAATGGGATAAGAATGGAGTCTAACAGATTAAATAAAGGACCAAACTCATTGCTCGCTTAATACTTTAAGTCTTGCTTGTAACATGGAAGATTGTGTGAGAGAATGACTAATGGCGTATCCCACGAGGGAGCTCCAACAGAGATGCTTTAGGAGATTAAATGATTTAGCCTAGTACCCCTGAAAGCTATATTTTAAAGGGGCAGAAGTTTAATCATTGGAATGCTAGTTCCTTCAATAAAATTACATTTTAATTAAAGTGTCTCATTCACAAAGCTACAGTTAAGGGTATATCAGCAATTTCATGATAAAATTCTACTTTTAAGGGGTTATAACTTTGAAAGTTGGTGTCTGGGTTTTTGCCTGCTGGGATAATTGACCTGACCTCCTGAAGATATCTTTGATAACAGGACTCCGTGCATTTTATGTCAATAACTTTGATTCAAAGCTTTAGCTGTTCTGCTATATTCAGAAGAGGTAGGATTCAGATCTCAGCTGCTTGGTATAAATCAGCAACAACCCTATTGAGTTAATGTAGTTGCAACAGCTTAAAGTGAGTGCAACTGATGGCAGAACTGTGCAGAAAGATGTCTCCCCAAAGGGTAGTATAATATTTAAAAATAAAAAGAATAACAAAAATAATAATCGATAAATGTTCACAACAAAGGACAGTAGAAAAAACATGCATCAGCTTTGCTGCAATGCTAGTAGAACAGCTATACATATGCTGCCAGAATGACATTTTGATTCAAGATAGTGTTTGGGGAAAATAAAGGATTTCGGAGCCAGGAAAATACTAATTCAGTAAATAATAGCTTGTTAATTTAAAAGGCTTTTAACTGATGCTGTTAAAGAAAAACACTGTGGCAACATTATTTAAAAGGCCATTTTGGTAGGTTTTATTACCCACAATACAACCATCTTGGACATTTTCTGTTGTTGTTGGCATGCTTAGAAGACATTGCAATGCATGACTGGCCAGGTCAATTGTGATGCTCAGCAACACACTGCATGCTGCTGAAGCAGAGAATTAGAAGAAGCCCTGTCATTTCGCTCATTTTGAAATCTTAGGTGTCTCATCACAATTATGATTGTGATTTTTTTTTTTTTAAACAAGTTAAGGGAGCTAAGTACCAAAATGCTACTGAAATTCAATACCTTTAAAATCCCAATCTACTTTTTAAAACCTAGCATACTGTACAATATGAATGCAACTATTTCAGAAGCCAGAGGTATATATTCCTATCATTCAGTTCAGGACTTGTTTTCTTTCTCAGAAAAATATGTATTACAAACTTAATCTGCTTAGGCTTCCAGAAAGCTAATCACAAAACTGCTTTGGAACCGTATGATCACAAGAGTATGTAAGATTGCTGAGCTGGAAACTTCTCCCACCTTGTCATGTTGAGATTTGCCTAAGGGAGTTACTTACAGGTTACTACTGGGTATTCCAGAGAAAGCTCTTTGGGATCCTACTTGAATGTCAAAGAGATACTTTATAATTGGAGTAATTTAGAATTTAGAGGATGTCTAGTATTAGTCAATACAAACATGGCCTATGAATACAATTTAGGCAAAATTCCAGGTTTATGAAATTGAGGTGGCACTGCTGAGGAAACCCAACCTTATTACAACCTGCTTAAACATTTTGTAAAACTTATTTCCAGGAGACAGCCAAGTACAGCAGCTATCCTGATATACAGCATTTCAGTTCAACTATCTATAAGCTGTCTTCCTATAGAAAGACTAGAATGTAATATATAGATGGGAGGAGCAGTGGTAACTGCACAAATCATAACCACTTCTGTCACTGATTTACATAACATTGTTAGTCAGTTCACAAAACAACCTGCCCTTTCCTGAGTCTATCCCTCCACATTCTGAATAGAAATGTAATATTTACAGCCATTCATGTTTGGAAAGTCCCTTGAAGGGAAAGACATGTTAGCAGTGCAAAGTAACATTCTAATGTAAGTTCATGTAATGCAAATAAAAGTAGATCCGCTTTTATTACTGATGAATTATGAGACGAACATGAAAATGTGCTGTATATATGAACTATGTAATTACTGAGGAATTCATTCACTTTGTGATTTCAACTGAATTATAAAACTAGAATTATATACAAGGAGGACAGATTTTGTTGTTCTTTGTCCTGTGAAACTATTTGTACAGTCAGATAAAAAGCTCAGGATAGTATTTTCAGAGCAAGGCTGACAAAGTTAGATGCTTGTGCTTAATTCCTCCAGACACAACCCATCTATGCTTTTGAGTAATCTGCTTGCCTCTACCAGGAATTAATGTGAAATGTTTTGGTCTGCATGGGGCCAAACACAAAATTTAAACCAACAAAACTATTGGTAATTGGAAACTCCACTTTTCCAATCAGTATTAAATGAGATTTAAAATACCACTGACATCAAAGCAGAGTAAAAACAACTTAAAACTGGTTTTATGGTCCAGTTCTTACCATTACAGTTAGTGCTGTAACAGCTGGGATGCTAAATGTTGGATCACTGCGTTTTTCTTGATAGACTACGCGATACAGAGATATAACACCATTGGGAGAGACGGGTTGGGTCCAGTTCAACCGCACTGAGTATGCACTCGATGCTTGTGCCCAAGGGGCTCCCATGCCCCACGGGGAAGACTCCAGAGTATGGGCTGAAGCCCACAGGCTGTCCACTGATCCCACAGCATTTTGAGCTCTGACACGATATTCATAGAGAGTAAAAGGCTGTAGGGCATCGGACGCATCAATAAATTCCAAAGCTCCTTCAGCCCAGATGAACAAAAGCAGGTCTTCTTGACTGCCCACAGGACGTCTGAAATTAAATCAAAGTCAATGTGTTTAAAATTGAAAATAACTTTATCAGTCCCATGGTAGTTGATCCCGAAGTTCTAAGTTCAACCCATACCTCAGAAAAGTACAGAATTTATTTCTATACATTATACACACACAATGAACTGCCTGCCTATCTTTGCGTCTTAAAAGCATTTCCCTGAAATTATGTTAGGTGCTGATTACTGAAGAAGACATTTCTGAGGCATGCATTTAATTATTGTCCTTTATCTAGAAGAATACTATAAAACATGTCAAACAAGTGCGCTGTCACAGTCCATAGTAGCAGAGTAGCAATACAATAGCATATTGTCCTTTTAAGATAAAACACATCAGATACGAGACTTACAGAACTTACAACATGAAATTTTAAATCCATATGTAGTTGCTAAGTAATAACTTGAATTGCAATATGGGTGTAAGTTTGAAACATTTGTGAAAATCAAACTATTTATGGAGGTATTCATCTCAGGATTCCTCATTTATGTAAAACTTATGACCACTTTACTTGAGAAAAATGTTATCTAGTGAACAAGGGATAAATATCCTATTATGCCCTCAAAACCAAAGCTATGCACTTTGGATTTCTGGTTTGCTCACAATAAATATCCCATTTGTTCTTATGAATGGAATAAGTAATCCCTTGTGCACAAACTTAGCAGAATTTGCAGCTCCACCACAAAAACCCATTAAAATATTGCAAGTAGTACTTTCTGTAATAAACTACATATTTTTTCCAATGCTGTTTTTGTTTAAAAATGCAAACTTAAGATATATGAGGACAATTCAGTGTGTAGGCTTTTGGTACAATGGTTTTTTATTTTTGTACATATGTATGTACACAGACACACACATATATATACATATATATATGTATATATAGCATTCGTAGTGCAGATCTGCTTGTGTTGGACTTGGTGAGATTCTGAGTATCAGAGGAGATTACAGATGATCCTCAGCCCCCTTCTCATGTGGCCCCTTCTAGTATATAATTTACTACAGCTGTAATAAGGCAAGCACTCATCTTCAAAACAGAGTTATCAAATCAATTCTTTCACTCGGCATAAAAATGTTTGTGTGAAATTAAGTTGGTTACATTTAAACACTGTGATAAATCTCAATGACAGTTGTGCTGTACTGCACATGAATTTAAGTATTTCCCCTACTCTTCACAGGAACCTTGGCCTTTGCAGGACGTGAAAGCACTTTCACCCTCCATGCCAACAAAAAAACCCCAGATTACATTATCTGCCACTTTTATTGCAAGTAGAGCAAATCTGCGGAAGTAAAATTGGTTTGTCTGACTACTGGGTGTCATCATCACTACACACACACAGAAGCTGAAGAACATTTCTTTGGCGAGAGAAAATCTGTATTTCACAGAATTCTGTCAGATTTTATTTTGTTAGATCAACCCCAGGAATTAATTTAAAAACGCAAAATGCAACAATTTTTTAAAACAGATAATCTTACTGCTTGTAATAATATATACTCAGGTGTTTACATGCAAATATGAAGAATATAATGAATACATGCATGTACACAGCTGTTTATTCATCCTTTGTATGTATGTATATACAAGGCATGCATGATAACATTATTTTCATATACGACGCTAAAGAATTTTTGCTAAACTCTGAGATAAACAGGCTATATGGATATTATTTAGTTTAAAAGGGTTAAAGTGTGATTTAAAAAAAAAAGAAGAGTTTTGAGATACAATGTTTCTAGTGTAGTGCAATAGATAAATTATAAGATGTGTTGATACTGAGAATTGGTTGGCAGAATTGGGTGAAGAACGGAAGGTAGAACAGGTGGGAAAGATTCTTTAGCAATTCTCTCTCTTGCAACAAAACGTCTGGAAGAGTCAGGGTACAAAATTTCCCATTGATCCCAAAATTCTGTCAGCTATTTTTAATACAATTATCCATGTTCTATTGCAACGGCAAATCAAGCCTTGTGCAGAAGTCTCCCCTAGATGCTGTTCGCTGACTTAATGCAAGACACATAATTCTGAAAGGTGAATCACTACTATGTCTTTCCCCTGCACCTAAAAGTACAGTCTTTTCCCTGAATACTCAAAAATACGCTTAAAAAAATCTCTGTATATAAGTTAAAAGAGAGTATATTTTAGTGCAAAAAAGTCACATTTAATACATCTTGTCTGACCAAGCAGTATGGCACTTAAATAAATACACAAATTTATGTTATATAAATTGTTGAAACTCTATGATGAACAGGTTTATTTTGCACTGAAAGATGAAATATGCCACCAACTGTAAGCTCACCCACAAGCAAAGCTGTACAATGTAGTCTGGTTAAGTATTTAGATCTTATTACTGCTGAATATTTAATGAATGAAACTTATGGTTAGGTAAATGGTTCCATCTGTAGTGCTAAAAACCACAATATCTTCATGTATGAATAAACTTTGAACAGAAGTGGTTGAACAGCCTGTAATCATTTCAATCGTCTTAAGATTTAAGATTCAACTGCTCATTTAACTGGAAGTGTTTCTTACGTACAATGAGCTGCAAAGGAGAATAACACTTCCAAGAGCTGGAAGCTGTCTCTTAATCTGCATAGTCTGATTTGCTGCTTACATTCATCGTAAAGATGCTCAGATACGGTTATTTTTATAAGGGCAAATTCTCCCTGCCCCACTGCCAATCCGAGCCAGACAACATAAAGAGGAGAATATAATCTTCTTTGTGACAGATAACTATAGAGCTGTATGCAGAGAATTGCAGCAATGCTAACTGCAACACTCACCCCTCAGCGTACTTGTCTGGAAGGAGACTGAGTGAATCACTGAGGTCTTGCAGGTCAACACAGAATTATTCTTCACATGTTTACCTTTCACCATGCAACAAAAGTACATGTCTTAGCAGTGCCTGCTGTTTTCCTTACCAGAGTGGTAGGGAGTTATTTCTAGAAACACTGAGAAGTCCTGGGGTAAAATTCAAAAGATTGGGGAATCACACTGTCAAATGTTGGTAAATAATACAACGTCAATAATGCTCCCCCTCTACAATTTCACACCCAATTAAACAAAGCAGCCTCATTCATGATTTGGATTCAATAAAACTTTACTGATGTAGTTTACATGTTTTTATTTGCCTTTTTTTTTTTACAAGCTTTGATGTCAACAAATGAACACAAGGAACTTGAGATTATTGCATGTAATATGCTAGTTTACAGGTATAAATAAAACCCTTCAGGAGTTCTGATACTCAATGACATATCCATCCATAAGGAATCTTATATTAAACCATCTACTAATACACGTGCCTTGGAAGCTGTCTATGCAGCTTATGGTTAAGGGAATAAGTGTAAGAAAAGAATCACTCATAGTCAATCTAGAAGCATCTACACTGCAAGTCACAACAGTCAACAGCCACTGAGACATGTCCTCTGTCTCAACAGTCAACAGCCACTGAGACATGTTCTCTGTCTTCAATTGCCTGTTGATTTTTCTGCTACATTTTCACCACCAGAATTGTTCAGTTAATGAGGGCTACATTACAATCTCACATACATATACTAAATAATAAAATCTTACTCAACATGACATAGACACTTTGACAGAAATTCAGACACTCCCTCAAACAAGATATGAAACAAAATGCCTATAATTTTACAGGCAAGATTTCTTTATGAAATGAGTCATCTCATGCATCCTACACAGTGCATGCTGGTGGTCCACAGAGAGCAGTTCCATTAGCTGATGTGACCTACATCTTATTAAAATACAGCACGAAATACATCACCTATTTCCATAATATTATTTTTCCAGACTAGCAATTTCTGCGATTGTCACAGGGATGTTACGTAATGATGAATGGGAGCAGAAGTAGATTGGGTGATTGTCTCATGAACCAGATCTTTTCTCATTCACAATCTCTTCTAAGTTGTGATCCTTGCTAGAAAAGTTTAAAAGCCTCAGATCTGTGTTTAAAACTGCTATATGAATACTACATAAAATGTCACCATCTCTTTCATCATAAACTAACATTTAAATTTTTTGGTTTCTAACAAAATGGCCGTAAAATTGCAAGTGCTTTTATGATTCTAGAGGAAAGCACAAGTCTTGCCATTTTAATGCAAAGATCTACACACACACTAGCTCCCCAAGCATTCCAGGTTTTGAGTTAAATTAATTTGTTTTGGTGGTGATGCAGTAAGGAAGAGGCACATGATGAAGAAGAAATTACATGCCATAACCTCCCATAGAAATACTGCAGTCTTGCTGCTATAACAATGTAAGGCTATGTGTGGCTACAAAATGAAAAAGAACTATGTGCTTACATCCCATTTCTGATTTTTTTTCAGCTATCTGAGAAAGATTTGATATTGTTGTTGTCTAAGCACATTTAAACTTCAGCTGAAATAACTGCCAAGTGATTCATGCCTATGTAGGTGAATATAACGATTGTATCTGGAGCCCCAGTGCGCCATTTTCATTTCACTTTAAATAAAAAACAAAATGTATCTATGTCAGTCAGTGCCCTTCTGCTGTACTCAGAGGTATCAAACAGGCTACAATTATGATTGTGAAGTGATTGTGTCACATTGGAGGAAGGTTTATTGCTTTTGAGTCTGCTAGGCAGTAACACATTCTGTTTCATATTACTCTTTATATCATTGTTTGGCTGTGACTAGAATAATCAAATGCCATCAAATGCTGTCAAATTCAATTTACAGTATTTTTCACTGAAGCAGGCTTTCTGCATTATATTTCCTGTTTTCCCTTTCTATGGCTGCCATGGAATAGCAACGGTAATCATCAGCTTTATTTACAAACCCAACAGAGTGAAGACATGTCTTGGGCTATAACATACCCTTTATTCCTCTTTATACAGGTGAGAGACTTGTTTTTTTTTGATCAGAGAATTAAAAAAAAGTGAACAAAAGGATATTTCAAGCGAGCAGGAATTTTTAGACACTGCTAATGTGCTTAAGGAAAAAGTGAATTTATATTAATTATCACTGCTGACTCCAAAAGGTAATTTGATGCCTTTTCTTTTCAGTCCCAGCTCTAATATAATAAAATGTCCCAAACTCTTTGTGGGAGGCTAGGTTCAGCCCAGCATGTGTTTGCCACACATATTTTGAGTTGGGAAAACCAGGAACTTCAGAGTTTAAATTCCTCTCCAACATACAGCTTGAGTTTTATGTTCTCTAACTTTCTGAAGCTATTCAAGACGGTTCCTTCACCGAGCTTTTCAAAAAGGGTCAGTGGGCACAGCAGATGTCAGTGCTCTGCTACTTTGATACTTCCCTAAGCAGACCATCTATATAGAAAAATCCTTATGCAGAGCTTACAAAGCTCCTCATAGGGAGTGAGGATGTTCCAGTCAACCACCTAGACAGGGCAGCTGAATACAACACCAAGGTACATAAATAAATGCAATTTAATTGGAAGACTGTATAAAATGGAGCTGCACTGTATCACGCCCCATATTACTTACTACAAACAGGAACATAATTCATCTTGGAAAATTGGTCTGTGTTAGGAACCCAGATACCTTTTTTTTGCTTTTAGAAAACTCAGAAATGGTCAATACTCCTGTTTCCATTCCCAAACTCTCAATTGTCTATCAGAGAGGACTGAAGAATGTACCTAGTGGTCTGCGTAAACATGGTGAGAGAATCTATCTTATAATTTTTGTCTGTCCCTTTGAATTTTTAAAAATTCACCTGCTTTTTGTCATTTGTAGATCAGGAAGACGATTCTTATCTCAGATCTTATTCTCAACTTGTCCATCCATAGATCAGCGTCTTACCTTAGCATTTGAAAGGCAATATATATTCACCATATACTTTCTCACTTTTTTTTTTCACCTCCTAGTATATCAAGGAATAAAGAAACGAACCATTCAACAACACTAAGAATCTGAGGTGACAAAAGCATTTACCTGTGAATAAAGTAGTTCGTAATGATGCCATTTGGTTTCTTTGGTGGTGCCCATTTCACTTCTACGACTGCAGATCCCATTGCTTTAACGATAGGTGGGCTCAATTCTCTAGGAGGTGCTTCAGCAGTTCTTGAATATGTTTGACCACCCACTCCACACCCACCTAACAAAACCAGAAGTTTGCTTAGTGATGAGAGCTTCTTCCTCAACAAAAAATACAGTAAAAGCAAATGAATGTCAAGTAAAAAGCTCCTGATGAAATGGTGCCTCGTGTCACCTTATTTCATTATTAAATGCTCATTTAAATTACTACAAGTCCACTGATTAATTACTTCCGATTTTCACCAGTGCAGGTGAGGAAAGAATTGTTTCCAAAGTGTCATTTTAGAAAGACTTCTTTCAATAGGATTTTGAAAATTTCCAGTAAAGGAATTCTGTAATATTTGGGCTCTTCTCTCCTGTTTTTACGATTACCACTTCTTGTAGGTGAACAGTTACAGGACTGATTTTGTTCTGTATGCACGTTTTCAAAAATCATTAAGCTATTTGTGAAGAACTTTTACTAAAATGGCACATCTTATTTAAAATACATTTTAAAATCTCCATTTAAATTATTCATGATATATCATGGAGAAATATTTAACACTTCATTCAGTGCTAGGCTTACTTTTTACAAGGTAAACATTTGACTCCAATGTAGGAATAACATTTTATCTGTTTTGCTGAGTTGAATCTGTCTGGAAAATCCACATTCCCTCCCAGTCAAAGAGGTGAGTCTTCTAAAATCATCTTACCATTCTGACAGGCTTGTATTCTTATCTCATACAGGGTGTAGGGATCTAGGCCATCAACAAAAGCAAAATGTGCATGTCCTACTGGCTTCACCAGTAGAGTGGGACTGCTCGCGTTTAGTAAGATGTTGTATTCCAAAGGCACATTGACAATGAATATCCCTGTTGTGAAACAGAGAAGAACCAGTGATTATCTGAAATACTAACAACAGTGTAGGACACTTCAAAGAGGCCTTCATCATATGCAATTTTAAATGTAAGCCCCCTCTGGAGGTCTTACCTACTGCCTCTTTTGGAAACTACAGCCATTTAAATATAAACTGAAACAGATCCATCTGCAGATCACAACTGGAAGACAGACATTACAGTTCTTAGCTAAAAATCAAAATTCAATTCAGTCAATGCCTGTGTTGGAATTGCTACTTCTGGGAAGAGTGACCTTATGATTGAGAACCAGGCAGCTTCTGTTTTTTTATTTTTGAGGGGAAATGGCTACTAAGCACTGCTGTTTGAATATAGAGTCATGTGATCAAAAAAGTGAATTGCCACCATTCAGCAAATCATCCCTTTTTAGCCCGCAGCAGTAGCTGAGTGTAGGTTCTTAGCCTGCTTTACCAGTAAAGTAGAACACACTAGCCTGAACCAAGAAACGTATCATTTCAACTGATATAAAAACAAACTGCCAATTTTTAGTTTTTGTTATAGAAAAAAGATCTCAGTTTTTACTATTTTCTTTTAATTCAGATATTTCCCCCCATCTGTTCCTTTTCCCATGCTGTCAATTCCTAATTTTCTAGCTGTTGAGAAGCTGAAAAATCAGTTTCTCCATGAGAGCAAACTACGCTGTATGCTATCCCCTCAGAATGATTGGCAGAGGTTCCTGGACCTTCTCTTATTTCCTCCCATATGACTTCTCAAGGAGTTTTTTTGTTTGTTTTGGTTTTGTTTTGTAATTAGGAAATGGGCTGTAAGCTTTTTATTTTTTGTCCACTATACACTGTTCTATGCAGACAGCAGCAATTTCATAAAACCAAGAGAATAACCGAAGAACAGTGTCTGTTAAGTGTGTTTCCTTCATTCTGCAGTCATGTAAGGCACAATCTTAAGAACAAACCAAGCACAAAGTAGACAAGGTACCTTTCTGAAATGAGTCAAGCTGCATCTGATCAGTAAGAGTGCATTTCTCTTTCAACACAGCACCTACTTTAGATATCACAGAGATGTCTTTGTGATTGCAGCAAGAACCAGATGCCTATGAGCAGTTCTGAGACTTGTCCAGATCCTGAGAATCTTTCTATTTGTAACTTTGGAAAACAACTCCATTCTTTGTCCTAATTGTGGCTTTGGTCCTTTTCTGATGAAGTATCTGCATTGACACTATTACCCTGAAGTTACAAAGAGTGTTTTTTTCCACTGTTGTGAATCTTTCAGATGGATTTTTTTTTTAGATAAGTAAGTATGTGAATACGCACATTAACTAAAAAAAAAAAAAAAAAGTTTAAAAGAAATCAGAGAGATTTCAGGTTTCTTTGTGGCACTATAAACAACTGATGTACTTTAAAAGATCAGGAAAATCTTTGAAATACCAAGTTTTTACAATTCTCAGAAGAAAAAGAGGACATAAAAATCCCATCGAAATAAGATGCTGCTGCCTCACTAGATGCTAGACAAAGGAAATGCCATTTCATTAAAAAGTTGAAAAAATAGCCCTGAAGTGGAGGCATGACTTCAATCTTACTCAACTGCTCAGCTTACAGGAAGAAAAAAAGATGCTTTTATTAGTCACTGGAAGAGGTGAAAGGAGAAGGAGACAGAAAGTGCAGAAATCCCACTGTAAAATTTTCCTTTTTCAGTGTAAAAGTTTCAAGGAAAGCACCAAGATCTAACAATTAAGAATGGAATAATAGAAATACAACTTTTAAAGTTGTGCAGGATGTTGCAGAGTAAACCTCTGAGAGGTGATCTTGAAATACACAGCTTCTGCAACAAAGAAATTTTTGTCTGTGATATATGGAAGATGAAATGCTCCAGAAGAGTACACTTGAGTGTGCATTGTATAATTACACCAGCAATTAAAGATATATTATTGCAGCTAAACTACCCTTTTTTTTCTTTCTTTTTTTTTTTTTTTTCCAATAATTGCAGTGCCTGTAAAGGACACAACAGAAGATCCCAAAGTAAGAGCTTGAAATGGTAGACAGCAAATCAAATAGAAATCTTTTTTTAATCTTGCAGTTAAGGTCCCCTTCTTCTCCAGTCCTGACAACAGACCAGATATTTCAGCCAGAAAAACCCACTATCTTACAGAAGTGACACATAATTCACTTTTGTGCATCTGATCAGTGTGTTTATTCTGGGCAAAATTCACCAGAAACCGTTGAAACTGGTACTATTCAGAATGCTTGATTTCCCAAGGAAGATTAAATACAAACAAGGACAGCTGAATCCAGCCATCAGTATGCAGCGAAGGACATTTATTTTAAAATAATTGACCTATCCACGTCCAACATTCAGTCTATATCTCAGCAGAAATGCTAAAAAAAACCAAAAACCAAAACCAACAACCAAAACCCAAGATCTTCAAATTCTGTCAAATGTTGCAATATATCAGAAATGATACCAATAATAAATATGGTCAGAAAAGAAAATATTCTCTGGAAGTGAATGTGAAATTTTTAATAAAACTAAGTAAACATCCTGAAAATTTCCAATGCCCAATGGAAATCCTTCTACAATTTAATTAAATTAATTGAATGCTAAGATCAAATGATCACTTTATGATCTGAAAAATAAAAAAAATATGCTCATACAACACAGAAACTTATAAAAAAATCCTCTCTTCCAGAATAGCTTTCAGCATCTGCAGCCAGTCTGAAACTACTGCCTTCTGTGCTCTGATGACTGAAGGAAACGAAATGGGCATATTTGTTAAAGTCAGCTGGGAAACCACACGACTTGGTTAGTTCCAGAGTTCATAAATTTATGTCAGAATAAAAGGAACCATGAAAGCACAAGTGAACCAATTTACCCTAAGTGCAAATGGCAGTTTTGTTATTTGGTGTCAAAGCTACCATGAGCACAATGACAACCTGCCATAACACATTTTCATGTTCACTAAAGAACAAGGATTTAGTTGGTTAATATTCCCAGCAATACTCTTTTTCATAATTTACAACAACTAGATGCTGATAGGTTATTTAACATTTATGAAGTTAAGATGTAATCAGAAAAACCCTGATTATCTTTACAAATAAAAAAGTCAAATTATTCCACTTTTTTTCTCTGCGATTTCATTTCACAGCAGGTACGCATTTTGCACTGGGACAAGTCAATCAAACTAAACCTTGGGGTTTTTTTGTGGGCATATTTGGATAACGTTTAATCGACAATTCTGTGCAAAACTCTGCAAATTATGTTTGACGGCTCTGTGTACTTCAAAACTAGGGTAGTTCATAACAGAATTTGTAGCACAAGACGCTTAGAACTAGGGGAAAGAAGCCACAGTCTGTCTTACAGACTGGTCACCAAAAATCTATTTTAAGTCAGTTGCTGAAAAATTGTTTAATATGATGTGAAACCCAATCACAATTAAAGCAAAACAGTTGAACTGTTTCACTTATAGTGAACAAATACTAAAATAAGAATATCATATCTTTTATTTAAAAACAAGGAAGAGTAAAGTTATATTTTAATACTTAATTTCGCAAAGTAAAACAATTTGTTTGGCTTCTTGAGGTTAAGTATTTACATTGTTTCAAATATCCAGATATCTCATTCTGGCTCTATCAAGTACTCTCAGCAAGACTCCAAAGACAGTAACAGCTGGAGATGCTGACTGCTTTCAAGACACAGAAGTTTGGACATTGAGCTTAAAAAATTTGTCCTGTAGCAATGTGGAGCAAACAATCGTTTACATGAGAAAACAAAAATGAGGAAATGTAACATCGGCCTAGCAAGAATCAGAACAATTTATTGGGCCACCAATAAAGGAGAAACCAGGTTAGCTGAGGTAGCTACGAGACAAAGCTAAGAGACAAATAAATGTCATTTGAATACCATATTTGATCCCTAGAAGAATAAAGTAGGAATTCAGACATGTTGCAGAACTTCCATTCTAATTGATCAGCAAACCCAGAGGTGGATGAAGTAGAGTGTTACAACATGATGAAAGAAGAAATTTTAATCCAGATGATCATTAACGTATGAAGCAAGTAACCTAGGAGCAGAGGAAAGGATCCTGTTTCTTTTGAGCATTCATGGTATCACCAGCGACTGAACATGTCTAGACAAATCAGGCCTGCAGTGAGGACCAGTGGGGTTCTCAATGAGTTGAAATGCAGGGTGACTACCTGCCTACCCATCAATAACTTTTATGGATATGCCTTGGGAGAATTATGTGGCGGAATTTTTTTTCCATTCAGCTTTTCTGCTTCCATCCACGGCACTAATAGTTGTTCCATAATAATTGTAACATATCCTTCCGTAGCGTATCAGTGAAATGTACCATACCTTTGAGGTCTGTGCACTGAGGCAATGCAACACAAGATAATGGGATACCTATTTCAGAAAATAAAGTCCTATTTTCCATAGTGAGTGAGGTGTGTCAAATATTTTTTTCTGAATCTGTCACTTTAACCACTACTCGGCCACCTTGCTATTTAGCCAAGTCAGGAGTTTTGAAATGCTACATATCTACAACGTCATAAGATTTATGTACATTACAGATGTTGAAACACTGTAATTAAAGCCATCCAAAAGGAAGGTCCATCTAATATAATGCCCATAATTAATCCTGAGGGTGACTATTTGATCGAAATTTATTACAGCAGATAAGAAGATACAATGCCAAAATATCCCTGATATCCACAAACAGGAAGACACTATGACTGACTACCCTCTCATCAAAACTTGGTTAATAAAAAGCACTTTTTTCATGGAGACTATACCAATTAAAACAACTGTCTCGTCCAAAAGTGATTACTAAGACTCAATCCTTACAATAGAAGCTGCATTCTGGATTTATATGGGAAACCTGTATTATCTCAATATAGACTATTGTGAAAAAAAGGAATAATAGACAGAGAAAAATAGATCAGAAAAAAAAAAATTATACTCTATGCACAATGACATAAATAAGGATAAAAAGTTGTAGACTCTGCAGGCTAATCCTACCAAGCTGGAGATGTAGGTGGCCCCGGAGTTCTGCATGCACAGGACCTGTTAGTGGCATGTATGCCATTCCAGAAGACCAGAACCTCCAAAATAGACCTCCACCTGCATCTCCCACAGTCTTACTCTTTGGAAAAAATGCTAGGAGCACAAAGGTCGTAGAATGAGCATGAAGCAGGATTATGAAGGGTCAAGAATGAATTTCCTAGTTTCTGCATATACCTGTTCTTCCGCACACAGGGTTTCTTTTAGCAGCATTTAATAACATTGCTCTGCTGTTAGAACTCCCCATTCCTGTAAGAACGATCAGCTAGTGGCCCCAAGGTGCTAAATAAAAGGACCAGCAAGTTTTCCTTTCCTGTCTATCCAGCCGGGGCACTGTATGAAAAACAATCCATTGTTCATACTTAAAAATGTGAAACAGGAAGGCAGAGAGGAAGGGACTGAGTCACCAAATATCTGTGAAAGTGTAGTAAGTGTTCAAGGTGTGTCCGAGCATCTGGTAAGCAGGACACATGCCTTCCCCTGGCTAAGGAGAATAATCCCTACAGCCGTGTGAATACATCAACCCTGCATCCTCTACAGAGCCATAATGTCTAGCCTCCTCACCCCCCTGATTGTACGGTTTCAGGAATACATGAACCTTTGTATGCACAATCGCAACTGCAACATAACCAAATGCACTATACAGAGCCTCATTCTCCTTCCAGGCTTGTAACCTACTGCAAGTAACAGGTATTCGAGCAGCTGGAAAAGGTCTAGAACAACAATGACAAGCTTTTCTGGGAAGCACCCCACTATTCACAAGCCTATGCTTTTCCAGTATATTCTTATGTTTTAAATCTATTTATAATGTTGCTGAATATTTTGCACCTTAAAATATATCTATTTTCAAAACTATAATATAGCATGAGTCACTTTCCAATAAAACCAACTGTAGATTATATGCCATTCGAATTCACCTGCCTTCTGTTGCTGGGTTCTAAATCCTTTCAGGCAGTAGGGGGAAAGGTATAATTTAAGATTTTAATCTTTTTCATATATTATAGCATTTCTATAATGGATTTTGTGCTTCTGAAAACTAAAAGATTGACAGCTCAGGGTATTATAGATTTATTAATCATTGCTTAAATGGGTAGGGTGAATGCTGCTAAGCACTGTCACAATACTTGTGATCCCAGCCTTGAAGGCAAAATACATTTTCTAGGTGACTTTATTTTTAATGCCAATTGACTCTATTGTGAGTACTATGCAAAGAAAGAACATCTTAAATAATTAGGAAGAGGACACATCCAAAAATTCCCTGCGTTCATTGATAAAACATATATTGTTGTTACTGCAATATGCAAACATCTGAAGTTTCTTAAAAAAATTGACCTCATTTTAACAACAACAAAAAATATATATAGAAGCTGGAAAACACCTCGCTGGAGATGAACTACATTAGACAGAAAATTGTTAATTTACAATGCTCTCACTGTCCCACAATAACTACAGCACATTTTTATAGCATCAGTAAAGTACACCAGTCACTTAAGCTATGATCTACATTAATGAAATAGAGCAGTCTCTCATATAAAAAAATGCTATTATTAAATTATTCCTTCTTAGCGTACCTCTGTAGCAAGCCAAGACAACCTGGTGATGTTCAGGAGAAAAGCAACAAGAGGAAAAATATTTCTGGGCCTTTGGTGACCCACTCTCCTGCAAGGTAACATGTCCACATAACACTATGGTGCTTTAGCAAATAAAATTTACTCAATCAGATCAAAGCTAGGGCAGGATCTCCATGTCACACTCTTACACCTTTTGTTAAAGGAGCTCAACATTGCATACCGGCAGGACAACTGGACATTTTAATTGCCAGGATAATTCAAGATATCATCAACTCAAAAGGTTGGCAGGTTTCCCTATCGATAACACAGGTTGGTCTGAACAGAAGGAGAAACTTATTTTCAGCGTAATTGTTTTTTTTTTTCCTTAATACTGGCACTCAATAGCAGTTTACAAGATCAAATTAACATATGGATTTTTGATCAGCTAATCCCCACAATACCCATGTCAAATATATAGGTCAATATTATTAAAATAACATGTCTCTAGGAAACAGCAGCTTTAGATACTGGTTATTTAAGTCACACAAAAGCTAAAAGCAAATATGAAGAATAAAAATATCAGAATGATTCAGCTGCCTGTCTGAATATACTAATTTTTCCACTCTTTCATTTTGCTACAAAGTACTACATAGAAATACATTTTTACCTGGCACGTCCCAAGCTAGAAATATAGAATATGCATCAATTACTGTGACATTATATGGGACATGAATTTTCTCTGGTGTTCCTACTGGTGTTTGTATAACATATTTATCACTAGCATTGCTGCCGCCCCAAGTGCTGGCTTCCAGCTGGTAAACATATCTGCGTAAACACAAAAAGATCAGTAGAACTACAGTTAGAAGCTTTAGGTATATCAGTAATAGAACATTCCTATTTTCACCAATTTAAAGTGAATAGATCATACAAAGAGTATTAAAATACTGCATTACTGAAGATTTTCACCGTTTTCTTAATGTGAGAAAAGTAACTATCTACTTATCATAATAAAAATTGTAATACTAAAATTCACATTAGCTTACATAAGAGAGAGAGAGTCAAAACCAGTTTCAGAATGGCCTCTCTAAAAATATCAGCAGCTGCTACTTTTGAGCTAGTATGTTCAATATGCACAGAAACATTATAAATCATGTGCAGAACTGTCTGCCATATAAAGACTTCCGTTTTTCCAATAATATTCCATGAGGGGAAAAAAACAACCAACGAGCCACAAACAGCCACCCAAGGAAAAAAAAAAAAGCCTCCCTCTCTTTGAATCAGAATGACCTGTTGTCATAAAAGGAGAAAAAGTCCATTGATTAAGGCTTTCCAACATCTGGAAGCCTCCTAAAAGTGCTCTTCCAATTTTTCAGTAATTAAGTAATATTGTAAGAGATTTTTCTTTTCTTAAAAGAGTAGCATACATTTAGTACATTTCAAAAGCACACATACATATGTTCTGAACACCTTTCACATATTACCAGAGCTCTTTAACACACCTTACCTACTGTTAGGCTGCAGGTTAACATCTGTGAAATTCAGATCTGCACTGCCACCCAGGAAAATCTGTTCTCCATCACGAAATAATCGATACTGAGTAATGAGTCCATTGGGTTTCTCTGGTTCACTCCAGTAGATTTCCACTTCTGTTGAGCTGACTATGATATGATGAGGTTTTGGCCATACCCCTATTAACATCACAACGACACTATTTTAATTTTATGACAGAAACATAAAGGTTTTTTTTTTCCCTTTCCCACAGTTTGTGCTGCTGCTTTCAGCAATGTAATGAAAGCGTAAAACATGGCCAGAAAGAATGACAGAATTTAATGCACTTCCTGTATTTATCCTACATCAAATGCAACCAACTAGACAAGGTACAGATTAATGGAAAGCAAGGCCAGAGGCTGCAGCCTGTATGTGCTCAGCTGTCTCTGTGTATTTATTTGTGCTTTAAAAAATATGCATCTGCTAATTCTAAGCTAGCTAGCTTAAAGATGAACTTGGGGAAATTGTGACAAAAAGAAAGCAGAAATGCAGTGCCAGGCAGTCAGTATAAAGAGTGTATTAAGATACAAATATTCTGAGAGATGGATTCTCTTGTGTAAATTTACATATGATATTCTGATGGATGATAGTGGAGTTTTGTACCTCGTTAAACCACCAGAAAATACAAGCCCATGTGACCGTCGTTTTGCAGTTCTTTAAGAATGTCTTTTTCCCTTACCATGCGGAGCAGCTTGCAAAGTTTGACCTGAAAGTGGTTGGCTGGAAGCACATCCAGCAGATGTGCATGCAGTTAGCATGAAGCTGTAATTAGTGTATGGCTGCAGACCTAGAAAGAGCAAACAGAAGTTACACTGAGATATTGACATCAGGCAGCCCAAGAATTGTATCACTACCTGGAAAGCTACTGGACTGAAAGTTAACTTTTAGTATTTTTGGCAAATGTAAAATATGAACCATTCTAATTTAACATCTGAATAATACTGACATGGTGAATTCTTCCTAATTTAGTTATATATCCTCTACTAGTTTAAAAGATGACAAAACAATTCACATTGAATGTGTGTCTATGCTGCAATGGATCTGTGGATGCCCCTCATACAGATATACCTGAATTAGCTCCAAATCAATTAACTTAGATGGCACTTGAAGCATAGTAACAACTCAGCCCAGATTACCATCTGAAAATTTACCCGGTCTCTAAGGTGTGTTTCATTAGTTTTTAACCTATGCTTCTGCCTGTACAAGATGGTTAAAAATTAACTGGAAGGCAGCTAAACATTCTTGGCACAGTCGTGATCTCCATCACTGGTAATGGACATAGAAGTTCATAGATGTCCAAGAGTTAAGCACCTGAAAGTGTAATTGCTTAGAGTTCTGGACTTGAAAAGCTGAAGAGCCTATAATGTTTTGAAAATTTATTACAAATATATTTGCAACAATAAGAAAAGATAACAAAATACTCTCTTACTTGAACATGAAATCTTATATTATATTGCAAACAAGTCCAAAGATACTCTGCTCTTGCCTCCTTCCCAGCTTCTATTTGTTCAATATTTTTCCCTATTTTTTTCTATTTGTTACAAGATTTTACTATAAATGCTAAAAAGCAGTTAGAAATAGGATTAACAATCAAGCCCTCTCCATTACAAGATATTAATTTTAGTTACCAGCGATTTTTTAAAAACTATTTTTTCAGCTCAGACCTTCTATGCTGGACATCTCTGAATGAAGCTAAAAGAGAATGTATTGCTTTGCCCTTTCCTTGGAAATTTTCAAACATCCTTGTGCCGTGTGTCAATGACTTCAGATTTGACATCAAGTTGCCTGCAGCTTAAGAATTTGACTTTAGGGCTCCTCATAAAATTGTACCCAAAATTTGGCTAAGATACTAAGCTTTTAAAATAGCCACTTCTGCACACCCATTAAAGGCTTCTTACAGTTAAATCGTTAAAGCTGCAGACCTCTGTGCGCCTGTCTTGAGCACCTCAGAGCTCAGCTTTAAGGGCTGATCAGGCTGCCTCACAGAGCATGCTCCAGCCCAGGTTACAGGGTCTTTGCTAAGCTACACTTTTCGGTATTTCTCAAAAGTATACCTTAAAAATGATATTACATACACTGAAAACCTCTCACACCCGTTTTCAAGGACCCTCTTGTTAACACCTCACAATACATTAAAAAAACCTCCCGTTCTTGAATGCAAAGGGGACAAACAGCTCAAAAAGAAGCAGCAAGTTATACACAAAAACTGTGTGAAAACACTAAGACTGCAAAACTGAACACTCATAAACTCGGAAATCCCAGGGTTAGGGCACTGTATGATACGAATCGATCCCTTTTACATACAGGCTCTGTGGCAGAGTCCTATCTAAAATTCTCCCCAGTGTGTGGTCTCTGGCCTGCCTAATTGTATGTAATTGAAGACTTTTTTTGTAGTGCCCATCCCTAGAGCATACAGTTGCTTTACTAACACCAACTAGCTGAGCATTGCAAATGGCTTAATGCAGTACCAGAAGTACTAAAAAAAAACAAACCAAAACACTTCTCTCTCCCTCAGAAACAAGATGCAGACACAAAGAGACTGAGAAACGAAAACGTCCCTGGACCTGCCAGGAGGCCATTTGGGATGCCTGGGACCTGGCTGTCAGAGTACCTGGTGTTATCTTTGCATATCCAAGCACAACCCCTGGTGCCTTCAGCTGCAGCTCCGAAAGCTCAGGAATGAGCAATTCGGGCCCCAGGTCTTGGGCAGGATGTCCGGAAAATAAGACACAGCTGTGACAAGCTGTGAAAACTTGAGATGTGTCTCCCTCAGTACCACAGCCTGAACCGAAATAAATGCCCTGTAGAGCCAGGACAGAAGCCAACCGCCTCGATCCAGGCACTGTCTCTCCTCCAGCCTGTCCCACACTTCATTCACTGTAGCTTTCTAATTCGGCATCCCACGGGGTTTATAAGAGCAGCCAAGGCCTGTCCCGCTGCCCCAGCTGAGGAACGGGGCAGGCTGGGGGCAGCCCCAGCCCCAGCGCGTCCCTGCGGCTGGGTGTGGGCTGAGACGTGGGCCCGCGGGTGGCCTTTATTTACTTCTTTATTTTAATTCCTCGCCGGAAGAGACATAGCTTGTGGACTGAATGAGGCAGTAACCCCACGCACAAATGACTACGCTACTGTGTCACGCAGACTGCTTGTGGGAAAAAGGCTGAATTAGGATTACACAGGTCAATTCATAAGTATTCTACAGGTCAATTTTTAAGTGCTTAGCTTTGTGACCTTACTAACGTACTTTTGATGTAGCTCATGTGCCTAACCGTAATTACTTCAAGAACAATGCAATTCTGTGACAAGAAAAAAAGTCTGGGCAAGATTTTTGTTTATAAACAAATCCTTGCCTGCAGCCATTACAAAGATACTTTAATTAAAATATATTACAAACAGAGATAAAGAATAAGCAACGATTATGTAGAAAGGTAAAATACCGAATGGAAGATACGCAGGCTGCTTACAAATCGAACAAGACGTGAAGGAGAGAAAATAAAGAGATGACTCAGAGGGACAGCCCTGCCTGTAACCTAATCATGAACTGGAGGAGAAGAAAAATCATCTGAACGCTGCGTATAAAAATAAGAAGGGAGAAAATGACAGTTGCAGAGTAGAGAGAGGCAAAGGCATGGAGGAAAGCCAAGTATTTAACATTTCAGGATAGAAAAGATTACTGTGGCAACAAATTACTTGAATTCCCCTAAAGGGAGTCATGTTCACTTTTAAAGGAAACATGCATAATAAAGCAATACTCATTTACAACTACACTTTAAAGAGAAAAATGGGCATTAAAAAGAGAGCACATGATTTCACTAAATTTATTGGTGAAATTCTGATACCTGAAACCTCTAGTCATACACGGAGCAGCCATAGCAGATTTTTATCTAGCTTATTAAAGCTTTGCATTAAACGCCTTGTATTATGTATGTTTTGGAAAGCTCTGTGCAAATCTATGTATGTGATTAATAATAAAAACAACAAGTAAGATAATCTTGAGCGTAAACGGCATTTTGCTTTTCCAATGTCTCTATTTGATTGTTCACTAGAGGATACTTCTCCCCTCCTTTCCTTTTTTTGGTCTATTATTGTGGGGGGTTTTAATTTATTTCTTTTTTAACTTCACAGTCTATTTCTTTACTGCAGCATTTTTCATTCGCCAGAAGGCTGTGAAACAGTGCTTTTTTAAGAATGCATTCTTCTATTAGCCAAATCAATTCCTTCTGACACTGTTTGTCTCCATTTGTGGGTATGGCTCCAGCAAGATCAGTAACTAGCTCCTAGGCTAACACTCCTGGGCCCTGCCGTGGCAATTTTACTCAGGAGGATGTCAGATTGCTGACCACAGCCTCACACAGCCCCTCTACCCCCAAGAGTTTCTTTTAGATAAATATTACTAATGATTCAGTGCTGCGTAGAGATAGAGTTGACCAGTGACAAAATTTCTGTATCTCTTCAGTTTTCACTACCGTGAAATGGAGAATATGCTCAGATGAAAGAATTTCAAACCATTCGGTCATAAGATATTTCTTAGTATTGTTTCTTTTGCCGAAATAAACATCAATGATCTTGCTTGGCTTTTATCTGAAAATGATTGATCCTACAAATTCTTGATAAAGCCTCTCACTTGGGATATTATCCTTAGTGTACTAAAAAGGGAGAGTTGAGAAGAATCTTTGCTATAAACCCACCTGCTGCTGCTGAAGAGGGCACTCTTAGCTTGCTTTTACAATTCCCCTAATTATTTTCTTCAGTCTTACCCTCTGCCTGGCCCCCACTGTGAAGCATTAGCAGGCCCATTTGTAAAGTAGTAGTAACACAAAGTGAAACAATGCCATAACTGTCATCCAAATTGTTCTGTACAGGGTAGTGGAAGTGTTCAGTAATAAATGATATAAAAAGGTCTTTTATTGACAAGCTGCCATGTGCTGTTTGCATTAGAGAATATGAGAAGATGATGGCTGCTGCCCCTAGGTCCCAATGGCATTCAACTCAGTGAGATAGCAGAAAATGCTTCAGTTTGCTTAAAGCATTGATAACACCTCTAAATAATTAACTGAGGACTTCCTGTCTTCAATTACTTAATGCTTTTTTTAACATCTTGAGAGGATTATAAGCAATTTATGGATTTCACATGATGAGCACATTCACCGCTATTCCCATAAAGCATTTGTGGGATCATGTTGCCAAAGCTTTGATGTAATTAAAAATAAGCAGCAAGACAATGGTGCAGCGGCAAGGTAGCTAGCCTTCTCATCTGTTATTTGCAAGACCTTAGATTCAAAGTCTCAAGAAATATTTGTGCTGCAGCTTCATTAATGTTCAACTGTTGCTCAGTGAAAAGCAGACAGTTTTTGAAAAAAAAAAAAAAGAAAAAAAGGAAGATGAGAAAATCAAAACATACATCCACAGGGAATAAGAAAACAGTTCAAACATTTGAGATTATGTATGGAAAAAAATTTATTGTTTTACCTTATTCTTTTAATTTAGAGAGCAATAATTATCCACATTGCTTAATCACCGCCATGAATTCCACATTATTACCTAATGAAGCTCCCACAGAAAACAGCACAAGATTTGACTATGGCTGTCAGGAGTAACGATCACCTATTTCACTCCTGGCTTAACATAGCAGTATTGGACAGTGGCTTAACGGAACAGGCACACAAAAGGAAAAAAGATCCCTATTTCTCAGAGGGTAATTTCATTTCCTCTCCTTTCCAACTGGTAAGAAAAACAGTGTTGTTTGCGTTAAAATCTCCATTACTCTGGAGGTATAACTGCCTTTTGGGAAGGAAGTGGGAGCATGAGAAGTATTTTTCAAATGGGTTTGATAAATCATTCCTTGTGTGTAGGTGCCTTTACAGTATAAACTTACAACAGCAATTCTAAAACACGTACCACCAACTGGCATACTCCAGTTAATATCTCGTATCCAGAAGCACTGAATATGGAGACAGGCGTAATATACATTTGATGAATTTCACACTTGAGCATGATATTGTCAAAGAGGAACAGCAATCCTTTACTCCTCTGTAAGTGAGTACAGCAAGGATGAACTCTTTTAAAGCACCAAGGGATCCACTCTGACTCAGGACTCATGCTTTGAGGGCTGGCTGAGAGTGCAATGTACGCTGTATAGGTTTTATACGCCTTAAGTCAACTTCTACTCTTTGGGTGGCTATCAAATGGTGTGTATAACATATGAATCTCTGAGTTTCCTACTTGGGAGGGGGAGGGGAAGGAAAAAACAATGTATTTATGAATTCCTAAAAATCATAGATACAAGAATTTGATGAGCAACCTGAGGTCAAAGAGTGAAAAAAGATATCCCAGAATGTTTATGTTCCCCTTTTGTGTTCAATAGAAACATTGCTAAGAATAATTTTGCTTCAGTGCAACATTCAAATATAATTAAAAATTGAATATGTGAAAATAATACATTTGTGGTCTGAGTCAAATCTTCCTCCAAAATCCCTTGAGCAATCTTCTTTCAGATACATGCACACTAGTGAAATTTCACCAACTACTTAGAAAATGTCTATAAGCAATACACAAGATTATAAATAAAATCCAGGATCTTTCCCTTTCTATCTCCCTTTCCTTTTTTATTATCTCAGGCAAAAAGTACTGGGTCCTTCTTGCTCCTACACTGCTGCACAGTCACAGTAGTGCTAGTAGACTTCAGCTGCAGTACTGTATATCAATGAAGGTAAAAGAGTTGAATCTGTGTGAAGAGATGGCAAGCCTACACAGACATCGAGCACACCACAAGCACGCATCCTGAATTGAGTTGGATAGATTTATTTTAAAAATTTGATAATAAATCTATTAATATCGTAACAAACAGCAGCCAGCCAAAAACAAAAGAGATGGAAAAATATAAATTTAAGATATGTAATGATAAAACTTTCTAAACTGCACAGTACTAGGCATTTAGAAGTTACTGACAAGTAGCATTTTTAATATGGTGATACTCTCTTGACAGGACATTAGCCTGAGAGCTCTGCCTCCTTACCTGATACTGTGTGCTGCATTCTGCTTGCAGTGTCAGTGTATATAAGTCCTTTCCCTACTTGACTGATCTGGTACTCTCTGATGATACCATTTGGTTTCTTGGGTGCAATCCAGCTTAAATGTAATGTTGTTGAGTTCAAAGCACTGATGTTTGGTGGCTGAACACTCTCTGGGACTCCTTGAACAGTGACTGCAACTACCTGAAGACATATGAATTAAACAGCAATTTAATGTAATAGTACACTAGATACCATGATCAATGAGAATGTCACTTTTGTTTTAAAATGTTGTTTGGCCTGGCATATCATTACCAAGGGTCTGGAGAACTAGTTACTTTTTCCTCCTTTTTCACAATGAAATCTGACCTTGAATACATTACATAAGTCTATGTCTACAATTTATCACAACAGGTTCACCACGTTTCAGCTGCAGTGTATAGCACAGGGTGAAACAACAAAGACTGTATTGCTTGAAAACTCTTGATAACTCTCTTCCATATGGTTTGTCAGTGTCTCTGCATTTTAACTGCCTGATTTCATATATTTTAAGCACCAGTAAACATGGGGCTAAGCCTCCATATATCCCATGCAATCTGAACTCTGTTGTAGTTATTTGCAACTCCATATTTTTGTATGGAAACCAAAGATTTTGAAAGATAGAATAACTTTGCACTTGTTAAGTTCTTTCTACAGAAAAAAAAAAAAAAGAAAAAGGAAAAAGCTAATTTTCTATTGACACACCTCTACCATCTCTAACAGAGGCAGTTCCAAATTACACTGGCTTAATAAGTGAGTCAGACCCTTTTCTCTTCGAGAATCACTTTTCTTTTTCTGTTATTACCACTATAAAGTATTTATATTATGCTGTAAATATAAAATGTGCCCTCTGTAATATATTGTCTTAGTGCATTTGGTGGAATCAGTCCCTACTTGCAGACTTCAGTGTTTGCAACAGTAAACTCCTTAATTACAGACAAGTGAAATAAGCAGGATTTATTAGCTCAGGCCGATAGTTGCAGCCACAGTGCCTACATAGCTTCCAGACCACAGCTCTGTGTGCAGGTAGAGGACTATGTGCCTGTCTCCACCCCTCTGCATCAGTGTTTCTTTTGTAATACTTCTGGTTGAGATTTGCATGAATAAGAAAACATTTAGACACCTGAAAAAAAAGTCCCCCTTTCAACCCCATAGATGTTATAATTACAAAGCACAGTCATTATTTCCCGCCTCTGCTCCACAGACCTCAAGCTTGCAGTCCTAGAAATTCACTTTCATAGAGGCAAGGATATTCTTGTGAAAAAGAGGTCACTTAAGAAATAGTTTTTCTAAATGATGAATAAGGCTGGTACTTTGCAGAACAGAAACTAGAGCTGGTTAAATAGCAATGCCGGTGAAAGGTATCTGTGATTCAAAGCGATACGAGAGGAAATGAAGCAGTGATAAAGGGAGGGAAGAGATTAAAACTGAACCAGAGGCAGGTTGTACACAAAGGGAATGTAAAGCCTGAAGCAGGTGTAGACATGGAAAGCCACTGAAGGGTAATATTGTGGAAGGAGGCTCTAAGAAGGTTGTTGAACAAATTGATAGTCTAGAGCTAAAGCAGATAAACTAAGAAATACCAAGGAAGAAGAGGCTATAGACCTCCCAGTGAGAAGTGAAGATTTAATTTCAAGGCTTAGAGAAAGTGCATTTTAATATTCCTTACTCTATTCTATCATGTGCAGCTTTCTCTTTAAAAAGCACCAGTTCCTACAGTGCAATTTCAGCTTTGCCAAGACTGAGATACTGCTTGCTTCTTCCGCTTGCTTGTATCAGCCTTAGGTTCCAAATAATCACCTCTCAGTAGTTGAATCCAAATAAGATTATTGATGTTTCTCACTTGCTTACTCAATAATCATCACTTCTGCAAATTACACCTTTCGAAAAGCATTTTTATGTTACCACACTGGCTGATAAAATTCTGGCACCAGTTCACCAGTTCTGTAAAGACCAATTTACTAACCTTGCTGCTGTCGGCGCAACCAACAACAGTGCAGGCTCGCAGCTGGTATGAATATTCTTGGTATGGCTGGACACCACTTGTGTCTGTGAAGCTCATTTCTGCTCCTCTAAAACGCTCAATTCCGTTTCGGAGAATGATGTAGTGAATAATAAGACCTATTGCAGAAAGAAAGTTTTCCCTTTTGTTAGCTGAGAAATCCGGTGTGATGGTATACTATAACAACCTACTCTGCACACAGAAAATATTAAATGAAATCTCTAGGTGGCCACTGTAACAGAGAATCATCTTGTTTAAATGGCTAATGTCAATTACCAGCTACTCTCCACTACATCAACACCTCAGTATTTCTCAATTATTATTTAGGAGAACTGTTCCAAGTTTTCTCACTGTTTGAAAATCGCAGGCAAGGTTTCCTGAAAGAAACATGAGTATCACCCTCTCCCCACCCCCCCAAATCCCCAAATATTTTGTAACGTGATAGAGATTTTCTGATCATATTTGCCAATTACTATTACAACTGTTCTCAAAAGAGGCTTCTGGCCACTTCTTAGAGATATACTAAATTGTCTTCTGTGAAGTTAAGACTCTACTCTTATTCGGAATGAAAATGCAAAATTTTCAAATTCTAAAGCAAATTCTTCTTGCAGAGTTTAGGAATATGTATATTTCAGTGTCAGTGATCTATCAAGAAATGTTTTGGGATTTTGGAATGCTGTCAGTTGAATGATAGAACATACTCTTTTTTAAACATATATCAATACCATTTGGTTGAAGTGGTTCCTCCCAGTTTAGAAGTATCACGTCTTCCCGATTATCCACTTTGGCCCATTTTGGTGGACTTACACCCTGTGGCACATCTTGCTTAGTGACAGCTCTGCTAGCTTCACTGAAGCCTCTTCCATAGCTATTCCAAGCAGCCACTCTGTACTCATACGTGATAAAAGGTTCGAGGTTCAGGTCTAGAAATAGAAAGTTATGTATGGATCATCTCAGTCTTATCAAAATACAAAATTTTCTTTTTTTTTTTTTTCCTCTGCCTATGGTACTACTCCTGTGTTTAAAGACAGATACATATAGAAGTTGTTCGTTTAGTCAGGGCCACTTTCTATGTAGCAATACTTCTACCAACTTTTGTGAAAGAAGGTTTAGACCTTCTATAGTCACTGAACTTCTTGCTACTCATTTCATTTCCCTGAAGATACTGTCCTGACTCAAAGGTTAATTCTTAAAGAATGCTACTTCACTACAATTGCTTCATATTTAATTATAATACTTGACAGCATTCAGGACATCTTTTTCTCCAGAGTGATTTAAATACACTAGCAAATCACCAACCTGATATGTCACTTTTCCTTACCTGTAAATGAATACTGATTTGGACTTCCTGTGTAGACAGTCTCCTCCTCAGCTGGACACACACCTTCCTTTATCTCCTTTTCTGTAGCACTCTGTGAACCTTTTATCCATGCACAGATTTTCTCCTTAGGATTGAAGTCACACTTTCCACAGTGGGCTGTTGCCTCCATAGATAAAGGGCAAAGGATGTTAGCCTTGCATTCTTCTTTTACCTAAAAAATATACGTCCAATTTTAATATATTTACCACATCTTTGTTTCTTCACAAATGCTTCCATTAGTATTTCTCCGTCTTTATGCAACATACAAATCAAGCAACCACATTGAGTATGTTGATATTTCTAGCATATGGGAACCTCTTTCAGCCTTTGGCCTGTCTGCTGTCTTTGGTCATTAACGCTTTTATAATCCTTTCTAAAAGAAACAGGTTTTTTGCAGGGTCCTTGCATTAAAACATCACAAATGTTAACCCCTGGAAGCCCACATGGCTGGGTTTGTTGAAAGTAGAAGAGTCTATAGTCAAATGAGAACAGCATTTTATCTAAGAATTTGAACATTCTTGTCCTGCAAAGACCAATATCCCATGGCAAATCAGTAGCAAATTCCCAGACCCTCACACAGCTTGCTGCACAAGGGGACTCTATGCAATTCCTCGGCAGCTGTGAAGGCTGAGAACTCTATCCATGGGCGCTACAAACTGGATCCTCGACCGCATCCTTCCTAAACAGCAGTTTTGCTGCAGTAAGAGGACCTCTGCAAATGTTGATGTGGATATAAGATTTAACCCATAAAGAAAAAATCACAGAAATAGAAATATACACTGAACATTCAGAAGTTTCCATTAAAATTCATGAAATAATATTTTTGCCAAACTGTAAGCTATAGAGCAATAACTCTCATAAAATACAGGTTGTTGCAGAAAGAAATGTACTGCAATATTTGCTACAAATATTTCTGCCCATTAGGCTACAAACTTTAGAAGGAAAATCAAACAGATTACGTCTAGTGCTTCCTTAATTTACCTATCAAAATTTACTTGTTAGCTGATTGTGAACTTCAACTAAATTAATTTCCCATCACAGCTAAATTAATTTCCCAAACTTGGCACTTTCATAAAAATTACACTGTGATAAATATCAATACAAGATGTAGACTATAGACCAATTGGATTCACACAAAGCAGCTCCAGAATATGTCTCACTACACCAGTCCTTTGAATGTTAGTAAATCTATACATGTCAGAAAGCCAGCACTGCTACTCTTTTCTACTGCGGGTAAGTGAAATACAAAGCGCTTCCTTTGTTTATACATTATACCTAAGGCACAGATTTTGCATGTTATCTACCAGAATTCGTTAACCTATTCTCAGCCATTGTATACTCCTCAACAATGTATTAAAGAATTGTAGCTGAATCATCACAACACATGGATTTTCTCTAGAAGAAAATTATTCAGTCTGAAAATGAAATGACATGAAAACCTTGACATGAAAAGGAGAAGATGGAAGAAATATTTGTGTATGAACTTAGTAGATGAACGGATACAGGAACACCTGTATGTGGCAGGATGGGGTCTCTTTTTCTTTTTACTTTAGTGATAAATTCCACAATATCTACTTGATTTCCATACTGTAGAATTCACAGTATCCAACCCTCTTTCTTTCTCTCACCTATTTTCTCCCTCTCTCTGTACATATAAACATAAACATAAACATAAATATAAATAGAAGAATATACATGCACATAAACAAGGTTTCCGTCCTTTGAAATGTTAATTTCCTTAAACAAAAATTTTAATAAGAGTTGACAATATTTTTACAGCTTACGTATAACACCAAGATACTAATTCTTGAAGATTTCTACTGAATTCAATTGGAGTTGCAAGACTTTGCAACTTTGAAAGTTTGGGCAGATTATCTCATGCTGATACCTACAGTCACTGGCCACTCTTAGAAAAGATGGAATTAAACTTTATGGTGCTTAGTTCACTCTTACATTAAACCAGAGTGAAAATGAACTGTGTAATTCATAAGGCATGAAAGCCATCAAAAATATAATATTCTCTTTGATCAGGATTAAGTCCATCAAGAAAATATCGATTGCTTTATTTTTATTTGTATTTTTTGGGGGAGGTTGGGAAATCTATGTCACCCTGGCTGCCCAAATTGAAATGTAATAGTATTTTTATACTTCAGAACTGGCCACTTCAATTTTGATTTCCACTTAAGGAACATCATCAGGAACAGTGGTCACAGAATGGAAACTGGCTATACATGCCAGTCTTGTTAGTATGCCAGCTTTTAGCCACTGTACTAATCTGAAGTGCTGGGCAACACTTCACAGAGGCAGCTAATCATTATTAATTCCTTTAGAATTCATTGCAATAACATCAATCATGGTGAACTCATTTGGTATTAATATGGATGTAATGTGAAAATGAATAATGCACACAAGAGTTTTTATATTCCTATTTTAGAAAAATAGTTATGAACAGTGTATTTCTCCTTCCGTCGTCAAATCAGAGCTACCGAGAGATTTTCTATCAATTACCTTCATCATCATTCCAGCTGAAATCTTGTCAGAGCAAACATATTTCAAAGGATTATATCCAACTCCATTACAGCATTCTTCGCTCTTTGGAATAAGTTCAGTCTCACAGCACTTTACTGGCACTTGGTCATTCTTTCTAACATGTGCTAGGGACTCACCACTGGAACCTGAGCAGCATATGGTATCTGACATGTTCACATACTCCTGCCCACAACAGAACATCCCTGAAAAGAATGAATAAAAAAATATATCTGAATATGAAATGTAAGAAAATATATGAATAGATAAAGAAAGGAGAAAGCTCAGAATGCAATAAATCTTGGCATAAAACCATCAGTAGCTGGAATTACACAGATTTAGCTAAAGCGAGATTAAATTGGAACGTGAGGTGACTGAAGTAAGTGTCCTGACTTCTAGACCTTACTGAAAACAATCAAGAATTAGAGGAATAAACAGGGATCCCCTACAATCAACTTACACCATTGCTGAACTTTTGTAGGTACCTTTGCTACGAAATACTGTACCAAGGTACTGTGCACAGCAGGTCGAAGACAGACTGGATGAAAATTTCCTGTAGAATGTAGAAATTGAGAAAGCTTCTTCATTTACTTTCCTGTCAGGTCTTATTCATCCCCCCTTACATGGGCAATCTTCCAATAGAGCATCTTAGCATTCCAGAATGTTCCACAGTACATTTTGTGCTTTGAAGTGGGGGTTCATACTAGGTACATAGAACTAAAGGGGTGACTTGCCAAACACCCACAATGAAGCTTCAATCATCTAACAGGAAGAAATACTCTTTAAGAAGTTAATATTTAAATATAATTTGCATTTCTATAGTGGAATTGATAAGCTGCCAAAATTAATTCCACACCTTCTTCTATTTTTAATAATTTTGTTGTAAAATTAAAAACTCTTCATAACCAGTGTGATTTGCCATATATTCACATGAAGTATTCTGTAACTATGAAATACCAATATTGAAGCCCACACCATTTGAAGAAAGGGGTAAATTTTAACTGTGAATCAAATGCTACAAACACCTCTATAATTGGCAATGAAATAAATGTTATTACTAATTCAGCTGGAAAGATTTCACACTGCCACATCTACAAAGTAATTTGTATTTAACATAATTTCTGTAGTACGTGGACATTTAAAACACATGCAAAAGTGGCCACTTTTCTCCCTGTCATTTATTGCAGCAAAACTCTCTTAGGAAGTCATACATAATGAAAATTACTCTTTAAGGGTATGATCCTGCTAAAGCATTCAGAGCATTTCATTCCAGTCACTGGAATGACTCAAAATGGTGACATAACTTGCATACTTTACCTATTTTCTGGGCTGGTTCCATTCACAGAAATCAAAGTGTGATCACCAGCTCTCCAAGAGGTAAATATTTCCTCCTGTTCACACCCTTTTTCCAGCTTCTCCTCAGATTCTACCAATTTTAAGTAGAGAATTAACGCAGAAAATGACTCAATTCAATACTAATAAGCAACTCAGCCTCAAGGGACTTTTGACAGGCAAACTGAAATTTTGATAATGAACTGTTTTTCTATTGAAACAAACAAGACTGTATTCTTTTACTGTGAACCTCATCTTTGTTTAACTGAATTGAATTTTTCAGCCAAGATTTCACTCATATAACAAGAAGTGACTCCCTTTCTAGTTTCTTTGGTAAACCATTACTTCTTTAATTATTATCAACCTTGTTCCAGTGTGATAAATTGCTAATTACTTAATACCCTAATCAGCGTTCATTCTTTGCACAGATAAACTGTGACAGCGCCATTAATTTAAATAGTAATTTCACTTAATGGCCAGAACGGCACACCAGATTTTTATGCAGCATTTTCTGAAGACTGCATCCATCACTGCAATATTCTGACATAAAGATGTCTGACGTGCACTAACTCACTTAGGGAGAGCAGATGTTGCAGAGCAGAGTTTGGTAGTAATTCCCATAGTGCATCACTTCAGCATGAATGAGCTGCAAAGGCAGAGGTAGACAAGCTTCTGAAACTGCATTGCATAGCCTCTGACCTTTGCTTAATTTATCACATGTAGCACTTGACTCCTGAACCTTGACAGCTCAAATGTACAATTCTAAATATGCTCCAAGAAAAACAAAATAGGACCATGTAATATTGACGGATTGATTTGCCTTCTAAAAATCACTTTGTTCAGTTGCTTAGGGATCCAGAAATTCCTCTAAACCCTTGCTGAATTCAGCAGAATACCAACATGCAAACAATTCGTTTGTAAATCAGTTCGAATGTGTGTGTCACGCTTTATATATTTATGTTTCATAGGTACACAATGCATTACAGCAAAAAGAAAATCCATGGGCTGGAAAAGACACTTCTTGATAACAGTGATTTCTGTCAACAATTATTTCACATTCATCCCTAGCAACTGAAAAAATTTACAAACACAGCTGAGTGATGAATTACTAATTTAGTAGGTCTGCAAAACCAACACTTTCAAAAGGGAAAAATGAGTATTAAAAGGCTTAGCCTTTGGAGCCAGAATAGAGGATCAATAAAATACAGAGCCAGTGTACATTGCAAACTACTCCAAAAATCCTTGGCTTACATGTGGATATTGCAACTATTACAGATCAGAAACCACAAGAGTACAAAGCATCCTCTTTCATGAGTCCGGGATATCAGTATAGTGGCATTTTACTAACTTTTTTTTTCTTTTTTTTTTTTTTCCTAAGAGAAAATCCAAGTGTGGTTTTGGCTGGCATTATCCTTCATAGGCAGAAATCGACAACTTTGGACAATGCCATCACAGCAGTGGGGCTCAGGGTGTGTGTGCAGTGGCACCACTGCCAGCCTTTGCCAGTAGATGTCTCTATGGTCACCCCACTGAACAAGGCCAACAAGGGGTGAAAAAATAAAACCTAAGAAAATAGAAATTAAAAAAAAAAAAAAAAAAAGAATGTGACATGGAAAAAACATCTCTTTTTGCACGACAGACTCTTTGGAAAAGGTATACAATGGCAAATCAAAAAGTTCTACTGCTGAAGCCCTTAAACCATATTCAGTGCAAACCTGGGTCTAGATTCTGCAGAAACACACTGGTCATGCAACAATAAGGCTGTGACAGGGCTTGCACTTCTATTCATCATGTTTTCGATGTATGATTTTTTTCAAGGAACTAAAATTCTGAAATAAAAGTTTGGAATTGTCATTATATTTTTAACCTTGGCATTCATTGCCAAATACAAAACAGAGCTTCAGAAGCACTTAGTGTTTTGCATAAAGCCACCCGTTACCTCTTCCCCTTCCAGACAATGAGATCAGCTTTCCAATTACCATATTCTTGCAAAATTCTACTTATCCATTTGCCAATGATAAGTAAATTATGTTTTCATGTGAAAGTAGCTTTTCCATTAGAATCATTCTAATAACAGGGATAGGGAGTAGGTAGATTTTTGTGCCTGGCTTATGCATTTTCATGATGTATTTAGTAAGGCTGAATTACTCTAAGAAATTAAGCAAAAACCTTTGAGCATGATGTATATGATATGATAAGAAACCACAATCTATTCTACGCTTAATGCAAAAGAATACGATCTCTTTCAAACTATGGCGCTAATTCATCTCTCAAACCTGTATTTGTGTTCGGCTGTATGCTGGCTCACAGCAGAAAGTCCTCACAGAAAACCTCCGAACGAAAAAAAAGCCACTGTTTTCTTTTTTAATAGCCAAAAAAATGTCATCCTGACCCATTCTCAAGACAAATGGTGTAAATGATAGAGCACTATACGCTAAAAACATTTTTAAAAGAGGGGTATAAGGGTTTTTTAAATATATATATTTAAGGAAAAAAAAATGTTAAGAATACATATATACTGAAATGAAGAACATAACTTTCATCCCAAGATACCTGTATTACACTCCTACACAACTCATCTGCCCAGAGAGAGCAGTAAAAACATAAACGCTACCCCAGCAGTTCTGTTCCAACAGCATCTGTTAATTCACTCCATTTATAAAATACATATTGACAAAGACAACTGAACTGGGACCAGGGAGATTTGATTTGGTGTGAGAAAGTCAATTCAATGTGATTTTGTTAAAGGGCTCCTGCAGGCAAATAAAAGAGTTTAAGTAATAAAGTACATAAAGAGATGTTTTATGAGCCAGCCCTGTCTTGTGGCAGCCACACAATGCGCAACTATGCAAGAGGGCCTTGTTCAGAGATGATATTGTGAGCCCTGCATAGACGCTGCAGATCAGGCACAAATAGGGATCACAGTGAGGGGGAGCTAAAATCATGCAAGCGGTGCTGTTCACAGCATACACTCCATGAGCCTCTGCTGGAAGGGAAGGATGACACAGAAACCTCAGAAAGCGTTGCAGCGGCTCTTCTGATTAGCCCTTCCTGACAGTCAAGAAAGAACTGGGGTACTTCTCATACCACAGCAGCTGAATAAGCCAATGAGTAAGAAAAATAAACTGAAGACAGAGCTCATTTCTGGGGAAAGGAGTTCAGTCTTCAGATCTGGATTCTCAGTTAAATATGAAGATCCTTGGTTTTACAACTAGAGGCTCAAACTGGCACACATATAGTGAGAGCACTGCATTACTCATCTTTGTATACAAAGCAGAATTGGGTACTAAACCTTCATTATTTCTTTGTTTTGAAACTGGGCTCCTCTTTGAGACTGCAATTGTTTCTGAAGTCTTTTTGTCAGGTTGAGAAAGCCTAAGGCTGTTGGTATGTAATTTGTCTAATAAATGTGGAAAGAAGAGACACATGAAAATACCTGAATAGGTTTTGTAGTAATACCTCCAATCTCTGTCACCAGCTAGTCACAGAGTGTTTTACAGAGAAGTAGGGTTCAGATTGTAACTCTGAGTGATGGAGTAATTTCCTATGGTATGCAAGAGATTAATGGGATACACCCGATGAACAAGTGACTAGTGCTAGCGATTAAGTTTAGTTAATTTTAAACTGCAGCAGGTTTAACCCTAGGTAGATGCACAAGTCAGGGTCGTATATCACCAAGCAGACAGCACTGTAATCTTCAATTTCTAGGTGACTAACCCCACATCTCCAGAGCAAATGGAAAACCCCTGCGCTGGGATGCATGGCAGTACAAGGTGGCCAAGTCTAACCTCCGCTCTGCTCATTGAGAGGGGACTGGTCCTACCTCCTGACTGGCATAATCAAAGATCACGTACTCCTTTTGAATTTTCTGGAGTGTCTCCAAGCTCCGCAGCTCTTGGACATAGGTAAATAAGAGTTATTGAAAGCCCACAATTTTGCAATCTATTCGAATAGGTGAGTGAAGTGCAATATAAATTTAACAAATGGAAATACACACCTTAAATATGAGTGTGTCACTGCTGAACAGTTCGGGTTACAAGAGATTTAGAAAGATAAAGCCCCTTTCTTCTTGAAAACTTATCACTTACCTGTAAGAGGTCTGTATGCAGTCCCTTCTTCTTCATCACCACAACAGACTAAGTCTGTGCTTATGACTTCTCCACCACAGCACTGTTGATTGAAACTGTCATGGAGGGATCCACCACAGCAGATTTGATTGCCTGATCTGGAGTAAGGCATTCCATGGCAGCAAGAGTCACCAATTCCAACTGAAACTCTGTTTTGCTCTCCGTTAGGGCAACATACTTCTCCTGTCAATTTAAGAATATAATTAAAGATTTTATGCATTTATAGCTCTTGAAATCCTTGAGAGGCTTTCATCTGATAACAAGTCTGGGTGCACACAGTGGTAGCTTCATGTACAAAACGTTCCACATGAAAGCATGATATTACTCAGTACTTTAGAATGCTATAAAAGTATATTCACTTGTAATAATAATTAAAGAAACACGCATTCATGAATTCAGGGCCAAGACTCTGTAAGGTGTCAAAATGCAAGCATGACAAAGACAAACTCAGAAAAGCAGTAAAAATAATGTCTGTAAATATGATAATTATACAGCTGAAAACCTTTGAGAAGAGGCAGCTACAGAGCAAAGAGAGTTCACTTTTGCTATGATTAACAGAACTGTCAGCCTACATATTCTCTGCAAAAAATTTCCTTGTTTCCTCCAAAATCATTCCAAACTTGTTTTGAAAAACTAATGCACATTGTTTAAAGAGTTTTTCACTATCGCTCAGGAATTGATCTCCCAAAGAACTTCAGGATTAAACTCACTTTAAAAATCAAATACCATAATCACAATCCATGGGCTTGTCTGCTATTAAAGTAAAAACATCAGCTTTGCTGGAAAAGGCCTTATCCTAAGACTGCGAATGAGACTGACGCTGTAATGGTGGGCTGGCCTGGGATACACCGTGCTATGAAAGGTGTAGATGCTACTATAAAGGATATAAAAATTATGGTAAATGGCAATAATTTTAATTTACTAGTGTCTGAAGTTGATCTGATCCAGTGTTCTAAAAGTTACGCTTTTTTATTATCTTTCTGTGTTGCAATGTTTTCTGTGGCTCAAATGCCATTTGGAAGGAGTAGGGATTTTGTTCTGCTGTTGAAGATGGGTAATAGAGATGATTAAAGCATTTGGATTCCTGATTGTTAATAAAAGAAATCTGTTTTGATTTTTAAAACTCATTTTTCTCATTGAAAGTAATTATCTCAAGTCCTGTCCTTCTGAAAGGTTGGGAATTACAGACAGCGAGCCCTAAACCCAGTGCAGCTTTTGTCAGAAATAAACATGTGATGCGATTGTAACAGACGAGAGGCAACACTGCTTCCCTGCCCCCCACATTCCTTGCCAAAGAGGTGCCTGTGTGGTAGTAGCATTATTTGCTCTGCTCTAAGAATCTCTCTCCTCCCATCTTAGTTCTGGGGCGGATGTTTGCACTTCTTTGGGCACTACTGTTCAGAAACTGAGATTGCTGCCTTCCTAATTTGTAATCTTCATGCCTTCAGCTCAGTGTGCTTCAGTACATCTAGGGCTATCAAGCTGGCCAAACAACATCTGGGAAATATGTATGCTTAGAGAATTTCCTGTATAAATAACTTTATCAAATAAAGTCAATAATAAACAAAAAAAGATGAGAACAAATTTTTAGAGTATAATAGATATAATCTGTCTAGATACCTCATCATATTTTTCTGCATTCCTTGGAATCTAATTTAGTTGCTACACAGAGAAAGTATTAAAACACAGAATGTAGCTTACATCTATTGGAAATAAAACTGGGGTGTTTTTTTTAAAGAACTATTAGACATAAAACACAAAGGATCAGTAACCTTCTCATTAACCTCTCAAAATGGGATCCATTCCAAGCTAGGCTTGAAAACGTCCTCTCTCTGAAAACTACCATGCAGTCTTACTAGTTAATTGTTATCCTTATCAAAGAATGACCCACATTAACATTTAGCTTGAGGTTATTAGCATATTTATAAAAATAAAAAAGAAAAAAGTGACCAACATTGTTCATGGTGCTGCCCTTTTGAGTAGAGAAAAAGAGAATGCAGCAAGTATACTTAGAAAAAAAATCTGTTTAAAATGATGTTCAAGCATTCACTGTTTCATGCTTGTGGATTGCTGACTGAACAAGAACTACTTTCAGGCATAAGACATTTTGTTTCACTGTGCTTTTCTCTCTTGATGTAAACAACATTGAGCTAGTTAACATAGACCACTGGATGGGGACAAAGGTCAGAGTATAATCTCTCCGTTTCAGTACATTGAGATTAATGAGGCCAGCAAAATATTCTTCTCTGGTTCTTCCATGTGATAGCATTTTTTCTGATGACATCATGGAAGGCATTCTAATATTGTGATATATGAATTACTTTTCAAAGGATCAGAACTTGGGATGTGCTGAACATGTTGGCAAAAATTCAAGCATTTCTGAGACTAGGGAATGTGTGCCAGCTCATGAGTAATGGAAGCATTTTAGCTCCTGACCTGACAATTGCCTACAAAGAGATATATGCTCTGAACACTGCCCCTGAAAAGGCTCTCCTCCCCCTTCTCTTCCTCCCTCCCTGTCAAAAACCCACCAACAAACTGGAAAACCAAACTCTGGACAACAGCACAGAAGCATGGTTTTGGCAAACTTCCCAAACAGTTCTGAGCACAAGAGTAGAGTACAGCCAAACTGAAGAAAAGGATAAATTTCCATCAAAGATAATACATGTGGGATATGTACTTTGATCTGTAGCACTGGTAGAAACAAAGAGTAGACAATGCAGAAAGAAGTAGAAGTGACGTATTCCATAATATCAACCCCAAATGCTAACAACTGTTCCATAAAAGAAATCGCGAAGGAAAATCACATGGGGTCAAGTCAAGCACAGAACTAAACCGCACCACCAAATTACAGAATCACAGAATCACAGAATCACAGAATAGTAGGGGTTGGAAGGGACCTCTGTGGGTCATCTAGTCCAACCCCCCTGCCGAAGCAGGGTCACCTACAGCAGGCTGCACAGGACCCTGTCCAGGCGGGTCTTGAATATCTCCAGAGAAGGAGACTCCACAACCTCCCTGGGCAGCCTGTTCCAGTGCTCCGTCACCCTCAGAGGGAAGAAGTTCCTCCTCATGTTCAGACAGAATTGCTTGATGGTGTTCCTATTAAGGAGAACTGCCCTTCCCATTATGCAGCACTTACTGCAATTAAGTCTAGTTTGGCATAAATTAGTTTTCTGGGAAATGACCCAATCATCAGGTTTCATCTATTAAGCCTTTCTTGTATAAACAGAGTGTACTGTGTTTAGAAGACAAAGTCAGTGCAATTTTCTTTGCTTATCCCACTGAGCACAAGTCTCTAAGACATCTAGAAATCTTGATAAATCCACATTTATTGCTATGTTTTCATTCTCCTTGGTTTAACAGATATATCAACTTTGTTGTTTTGTTTCTTTCAAGCACTTGAAAGGAGTTGTCTCTTACCTGCTAATACCCTAGTGTAATAACCACCACAGCACCGATGTTTCGGTTGCACAGCATGTATCTGACCACCACAGCAAACCCCTGGTGAATTAAGAATAAATGGAATGTACTTGTCCTCGCAGCATTGGAAGCCAGGTTTATTGTCGTGCAGAATCCCATTACAACATACCTAGAAGTAGTTAAAAAAAAAAATTCAGTAAGGCAATATCTGTTCAACAGAACATAATGTGTTCTCTGGCAAAACAACACCTATGAAAACGTGTACGACACATTCCAGTACGGACACTAATATGACTGCAGTCAAATAAAATGTAACTTGGCTAAAATCCTGTGCCCTCCAGCATTATCAGACTTCAATAAACTACCGTGTATCTGACAGAATGCTGCTATTTTGTGGCCTTCAACCATACTGCACCTTAATAAAATAGTCCATTAATACGAATCATCTTCTTCTTGCAGGCTGTTTGAGTCTCTCAATGTGGAGTAGAATGCAATATGTAGATATAATCTACCATCACCTTATCCTTTTCTTTTCTACCCAATTCTTATTTATTTATTTATTCATTTGTGATGAAACTCTTACAGCTAAAACTAGTATTTCCCAATATTAGCTCTTTCATCTTTCACATAAAAATACATGGATTTTTCTTCTTATAGCACATGATCACTTATTTATAACCACAACTCTTCAGACAATGTCATCTTAAGAGAATAGCATTGATACACGGATTTTTTTTCAAAATAAAATTTACATGGAAATGAATTTGAAAAGGCCTTTTAAGTGTGGACTCCTTTATAGGTGCTGTTGAGAAAATTATACGCTTGAACAATCAAATAATTATTCGTACATTTACTTCTGTGTCAATGGAGTGGCACACTGTATACACAGTAAATTATATCGAACAGTCAGTAGAATCATCCTAAAAATTGTCAACTCAGAACCCACAGTCAGTGCAACTTGTATTAGCCAGAAGGATGCCTCTTACAGCTAGACAGAAACTGCAGCTGGCAGTAAAGCACAGATGTTAGAGCAGAGTTGCTCCTTTGTTTTCTTTTGACATGGAGCACTTCTGGCCCTTGCTTTAACCACGTTCTAAATCAGGTCATCTTAGCAGCAAAGAAAGAAAGAGTTCCTCTAGAAGGATCTTTTATTTACCTAGGTACCTTAATTAGTAGCTAACAAAAAACTTTTAAAAATATATATAATAGGCTCAGGACATATAATTTGTACTACATTTATAATGTTAACATAAATATATACATGGAAGAAAAAAATATTATTACTTTTCTTAAGTCATAAACAAATTATTTCCGACTTCTATGTGAATACACGATGCTTTGTTTTGTTCAGTTTTGAATGGCCTTTACTCAATCACCCTTGGGAGTATTAGGTTAGGTTCTGAATTTACAATACATAAACAATAAGTAACCCCAAATTAACATGAGGTAGGGCAGAAGGTCTTCTTATTTCCTCATTATATCTTGAGGTTTTATAACCTTATATGCTTTGAATTGTCACACAGTTTTCTGCTTTTGCAGCACCTTTCTCATTCAGCATCTGCTTTAGACTACCAATGTAGCTGAATTTTGTCATTTTCTGTTAAGGAATTTTGAGTCTCTGTAGGTCCTATTATATTATTTTGCTGTCCACCTTGTCACTGGTAATATAATCCAATCTATGAATTTAATTATCCTACTGTTCTTTCTTCCAGATCATTAGTTAAGATGTCAAATAAAACTCTGCTTTACACCTCTTCTCTGCTTCCTATCTTTTGGATGTTTTTTTATGGCTGGCACACACTCCAGGCTGAGTGTTTCTTCATTTACAATTGGCTCTAAAGCACCTGATCTCCTTATTTCCAAGTCATTTAAAAGCGTTCTTAAAAATATCAAATCAAGTACTATTGTCCCACTGTCCTCAGAATAGATCACATTTGGCAACAATTCTTGACACTTGGGAAGAATGGCCTCTGCCCTGTCCTTTCTACTGCATCCTGAGCTTGAGACCAAATACATGTTCCTCACACATTCTCAGCTTCAATTTGTGTGCCCCTTGGGATTTTGCCTCCCTCTGTGGTCTGTCTAGCCCAATTTCTCTTCTTCTTTTCATGGATTTCATTTGTTATTCCTGCCCTGTTTCCTTCTTTTCAGTGATGCGTACCACCCATATTGCACCTGAACACTGTCTTTCTATCTTTACAGGTAAAGCTTGAATATCTTTGGCATCATCCAGGCTCAAATACTTGAGCAGCCTTTTTACTTTCCATGCAATGTTTCCAGTTTTAAGAAATGCCCCTTTTCTTGTGAATCCTCCATAGAAAGAGCTGCCCTGTGTATTTCACATGGCACTGTGAGGACCGGTTTAGTACTAACTCTAAAGCATTCTGGTTGGAACATTATTTGTAAGATTGCATTGTTACTGGTGTCTCTCCTTTTCTTCCTGAATTCCCTCACAAAAAATCCTCGTCTGAAAACTGAGGTATGTTACAATAGTACCAGCAGCTACTTTTCCTTGTTAAAAATGATTTAAGATCCTCCGTACTTCTCAATACCCTATAGACAGCTTCCAAAAAAGGGTACAGTCAGCTCTAAAACACATTCAGACTCTCATCTGGCATTACCGATTGGTATAGTTGGTGCTATTATTATGTAGCTCCATAACATCCTCTGCAGTCGGCTGTAAATTGTTAGATAACACTTTTTTGGCAGTCCTTTTAAGATAGTTAGTTTCTATTTGCATTGATATTCAGCCCAAGGACTCTACATTATCAATCCATAAAATAAAATGCATTCAAGTAATGCTGAAATCATGTCATTGACAAAGAAGAAAAGCAGATGGATTGAAAGTTATAGTGGCAAAAGGTTATTACTATCTCATCCTCTTAGATCTAAACGTGACAATCCCAGCTAGATGGTGTTACTCTGCACGTGAAAGCAGAAGCCTCATAGCGATCAGATACAGTGACACCAACATTTTAGGCAGGTCAGAGATCTCACCCTCGTACTGAGGGCTGAATGCTTGACATAAGCTCGCTAACCAGAAGATCTTTACTGTCTGTGGAGATGATACAAGATGTTCATCCTTAGCTATCACAGGAACCCTTAAAAATATTGGTAGACTGAGCTGCTCACAAATCAGTCCTGTAGTTACCCTTTCATCCAAACCTACAGAGGGACTGTGACTCAGGAGCACAAGGACTGGGAAGGGCTGGGCATAAAGAAAAGCTTTTTACGACACTTGAGAAAGGCCCAGTGAGCCATGACACTAGCGCAGAGTAACTAGATATCAAATCTGGCAGGCAGGATTACACAATATTTTAACAATTTTTAAAAACACTCCAAACGTATCCATGCAACTCTCTTTTAATTAAAATTGTGTCATTCCTGATCCCTCTGCTTGCTGAAGACTTTGTTGAAGGATATTATCTGGCCTTGTGGACACATGCCAGTTGAGCTAGGACTGATTTACTCAAACAAACAGATGTGCTAGGCAGCCATGTTTATCCTTCTTGTCAAACGCTTGCTGCCAGAGCCACTTTGTGAAATAGCAATTCACAAAACACTCCAAGGAATTCCTATTAGCTACAGGAGTTCATTAAAAATTTCTGCCTGTGGAGCAAACACCAGAGTAATGATTGACCCATCATGTTCTTGTGTGAGAGGGAATATTTTAAATTAGCAAGGCTCATTCTTTTTTACTTAAATTATCTCTGAATCTGCATAGACATCCCTTTTTGCTAAGTATATTTACCCATTTCTTTTCTCAAACTGCTGTTCTCTTTTTGTAATTGGTACGGCCTTCAATCTAAAATCCATGAGCAGAAATTATTGTTATTCTGTTACAAATCACTATATATTATCTTACTAAACTGAGTTTCATTTCCTGTCTGTCAGGTGTGTTACAACACACACTACACAGGAAGTGTTATCTTTTTAAAGGTTCTCCAAGCCTGAAAGAACTGCAAAATAATTTGCACAATATTACTAGCATTAATAGTAAATTTTAAATAAATATTGATGGAATATCCTTTACCAGTGTCGAGATGTGCTAGTTTTCACTCCTGAAAGTCATGCTTTTGAGGGTAGCTATCAAGCCATTGTTTTGCTCCTCCTGTCCTTAAAGAGCAGAGTCCTGCTGGTGTTTTCAACAAATGGCACATGTTAATTACGATGAGTAAAGGGGTAAGCCTGCGCTTCCTAGTAATGTCAGAGTTATATTTGATTAGTTCATTAACTGCAGATCTATACAGCTTGTTGCTACTGAAAATAAAAAGTGCTGAAGCTGTATTAACACCTTCAGTCAGGACCCTTTCAACCGTTGATGTTCATACTCATGATCTGTTGTGTACAGAAATTATTAGCCTTTATGCCACTATTTTAATTACATTTTTACTATACCTGTCTGATTATTTTCAGTGTTCACCTCAGGATGAGGAATGCCCTCCTCATCGGTACTCAGATTGTGCTCCCTGATGGGTGAAGCTAGGGCACCTTTCCTTGTTAATTGAAGTACATCTCTGCAGATCTCATGATATGTGCTCTGTAAGGTGATGGCTATTTTGAGATTTCAAATATGGATACAGTTATGGATCACACCTTACTGAAAACAGGTAGGAAAAGACTCAGTTTTGGCAGCTTGGAAACACCCAAGCAGCACAGGCTGGCCACTGTAAAAGGTATGCAGGAACTCTCCTGCCAGCTGACAAAAATCATCATGACAGTGTATTCTCAGCTTTTCTGCAAAACTATACACAAAAAAAAAAAACCCTTTATAAATTCTTTCTGCCCTCAAGAATTATAAATCCATCCAAGTCTGATTACAAACAGCAGGATAAAGGATACCAGGCACAGCACTGTGTTAGCTTTAGTCAAAATAATAAAGATTTCTAACACTGAAGCAGAAAACTGGATAACAATTAGAGACAAGAAGTAGGGATCTGATGCAAAGATTATTTAGGATAGCAGGAATCTTTTTTCGTCTTCATTAGACTTCATATCAGGCCTACATGAGCCCATGAATGTGTATGTACACATCTTCCTTGTCGTGAAAAGGTCATTTGCTCTTTTAGAGATTCCCAAGACAGCTCTGAGCAAGTTGTTTTATTTACACAGCACAGTGCTCTGCGCAGATACTAACCTGGATCCTAAACGCAGCACACATACACCAGTGCAGCCCTGCACCCAGACTATTTAGCACTGCCCTTCTGATATAATGGCGCTACTTAGCTGGACCCAACTCAGTCAATGTTAACTGAAGAGTCTCTGCATCTTGCTCTGCTGCACAGTGAAACACATCCTTGTATTCCTGTTTCTGAAACACTTGGGCTCCTATGGATAGAGGGGATTACATTTTGGTGATCTCTTATGTAGATAAGAAATGATAACAAATCCCTCTTTTTCTGCAGTGCCTTACAATAGCAAGCTGATGATGCCAAATGTAACCCACAAATCCCTAAGGAAATATTAATAAATAACACAAGACATATCTCCAAATTATTTTTGTACAAAGGGCCTAGTTTTCCTCTCACTTTGTACTCCTGAAGTCAAGGAAATTGTAAGAGGCAAATTAGACCCATTGTGTCTTGTATGCAAGGTACAATGAGCACTACCTGAGCAAAAGTGAGAACTCCACAACCTATTGGTCTATCGGAACTACGTATACACAATCTGCCTGCTTTTGCTGACCAGTCTATCATCCAAGAACAAAAAGCTTGTTTATTATTCTGGATCTGAACACTACTTAAACTGCTCAGCATTTAACTCTTAATGGCATCTCTTCGCATTTGGCTGTACAATTAATGTATGGCGAATGGCAGCTGGCACTATCATAACAGACTTTTTTGTCAGAGCAAGTGTATGCTGGTCAGTGTTGCTTTTCTTCAATTGTTGAATCTAAGGACCACATATACTAGCATGAATACTTCAGCATTATAGCTGGCATAGATAGGCAGTGAATTCTATAAAAGTGTGACAGAGGGCTGCCACATATGGTCATATGCTGTCCCTGTCGCAAACTCTAGTTTAAGAGAGTTTAAGATGGATGTGCCAGGAGCTCTGTAGATATCTCTTACAGGCACTCTGGATGGGTGGTGCGGGCACACATAGCAAACCAGACAAAGCATCGGGAGGGGAATTTTAATCAATTCACCCACAAAAATTACTCCTATGTCATTTTTTGTATGAGTGCTTCAGTATCCTGTGGATCTTCTAGTTGTTTATTATATATTCATTACTTAACCAAATAGCACCCATTCCTAACCACAGCCTCTGAGAATAAAGAGACCATTATAACAAAAGAATGTAAAATTAATTAGAAAAAAATAGGAAGTCAGGAAGCTATAAAAATAAATGGACACTGTCCAAGCTCAAAGTTACCATAAATGCTCGAAGACTGAAAAAATAAAAATGGAGAAGAAAACTTCAAAAATTAATATAATACAAATTTAACTCATACATATGCAAAGATCTATTAAAAAGTCTACCATACCAAAAATCTGAAAAAAGTAAATTTACCTTTTAAAACAGGACTGCCCATAATTCACTTGCAAGGTTTCAGCAATACGTACGTTTAGTATACTATTGCTTTCAAGGGAATTCAAAAGCCAAAGCTGTGTTGGCTGGAATAATTTATCCTTTGAATTGAATTCCTCAGATAACTCACTTCCTTAATAACTGTCTTGTCTGACAGGGAATCTTGTGAATACATATTGTTTGCTTTAGTCATGGAACATGTGATGATGCTTTTGACAAATAGGGACACTATTTCATTACATTAAATCTTACTTTCAAACTAAGAGTTTTCTACCTCATTTGTCAATAAAAACCATTACAGACTCCCACTATGCTATTGATCCTGCTCCTAAACAGGAACTCGTATGAAGATTAACCTGAAAACAGCCATAATTTAAAAATACATCTGAAAAATCACAATGGATCCCATTCAGAGCTGCTCATCATTGTCATGTAAGAGCCACTCACTTGTAGATGAATCTGAATAGATTTTCCATACTGGAGAATCTGGTCATGAAGAATTTAGCCAAGGAAGATTTTGAAGTGGGTGGGGGGAAGCAAGTCATGTTAATAACCACTATTTGCCATGCAGTCTTTGAGGAATGATCCCTCACGCAGAGAAGCTTAATAGATTTACTAGTGTTTTTGAAATTCTGCACATACCTAGAAAATTTCCTACAGCCTATTGGTGGTCCAATGTGATCACTTTATGCCAAAGGAGCCGTATGAACTACCATCGTGTGCTCCGTGGATACTTGAGCTGACAAAGAATCTCCTCTAACAGTTTACATTGTGTGATTTATGGCATGCAGCTGAGCAAAACTGATTGTTCCACGTGGGATGCAAAAATACATACAGAGATCTATACACATATATACCCACCATGTAACTTGTCACAGTGGGATTGGATCATTGGATTCAAGAGGCTGGTACTGAGATTCCTCAAACTTCCATTACACGTGGCTTGTGAGATTTACTTTGGATCAGATACAGCCTGATTCCTTGGGATGAACATCTGCACTATGCAGGTGGAGCAAAACTTTCTGAAGGGAAGAAATTCAGATGCATGTTTGTGAAGTGAGGTGGTCCACAGACTGGTTGGGAACTGAAGTTCCCATCCAGAGCTGCAGCATATTTGAAGGGTCTTTGAAACACACAATGTGGCTTAGCTTCCTATGCAAGGAACTCCTGTTCATCTGGAGTACTGTGTCCAGTTCTGGGCTCCCCAGTTCAAGAAAGATGAAGAGCTACTGGAGAGAGTCCAGTGTAGGGCTATGAGGATGGTGAGGGGACTGGAGCATCTCCCCTACGAGGAGAGGTTGAGGGAACTGGGCTTGTTCAGCCTGAAGAAGAGAAGGCTGCGAGGGTACCTAATAAATGCTTCTAAATATCTGAAGGGTGGGTGTCAGGAGGATGGGGCCAAGCTCTTTTCAGTGGTGCCCAGTGACAGGACAAGGGGCAATGGGCACAAACTGAGGCACAGGAAGTTCCGTCTGAACATGAGGAAGAACTTCTTCCCTCTGAGGGTGACGGAGCACTGGAACAGGCTGCCCAGGGAGGTTGTGGAGTCTCCTTCGCTAGAGATATTCAAGACCCGCCTGGACAAGATCCTGTGCAGCCTACTGTAGGTGACCCTGCTTCGGCAGGGGGGTTGGACTAGATGACCCACAGAGGTCCCTTCCAACCCCTACGATTCTGTGATTCTGTGAATTTACTTTGCATGTATTAAAACCAATTCTACCCTGAACCAGCATGTAGCAAATGAAAACCATCTGTGGGTTCACTTCAGAACTGCGCTATTGCTCCAAACTAAAGTGTTAATGCAAGACACATTCATAAATGCTAACCAGTTCATTTATTCTGCAAGGAGAAATAACATCAATAATCACAGACTTAAGACAACAGAATCACTTGTCATCAGCTGACTCACATACACTGCTGGAGATTTTTGCACAGCTATCCTTGTACTGAGCTCAAACATCCATATCTGATTTTAAAAAGTTCCAAGACACGTATCAGAGCCTTGATTTTTAAAATATCAAAAGAAGCAGAACCCTCCACTTCCCTTCCTCCAATAACTAAAGAGGGTTGGTTTACACATCTATTCGTAAAAGTATAATTTTTCATTACATAGCTAACTAAAGAATATACACGTACCTTCAACTCTGGATGATAACACACTTCTCCACAGATATTTTCATACTTTTTACATTCTAATGAGATGCACATTCTGTTACTGTTGCTGCTCCTTGGAGTCTTTGATGGGGTACACCTCTGCCATGCTTTACGTAAGAGTTCATATCCCAGGATAATGCCATTTGGCTGTCCTGGTGATGTCCAGTTGATTTGAAGAGATCTACAATATGCAGAAAATTAACATCTACTAAATTATTGAAAGTATTTATGCTTCCATGGATACTTACATTAAGGGATTAGCATATAGTAGTTCCATTTTTTACTAGTTCATATGGAGTGAAATGTTTTGAAGTGTCCAAAATGTTCCTCTGGATGGTGAATTTCACAGCTGCTTTAATAACCGAAAGCTATAAAAGTTTTACAAAAGTGTCAATCTGTGCTAATACTCTAGGAAAATAAATCACACATGCAATCAAAGTCCTTTAAAGTTCCTGTTTAAATGACATCTCATTCATACTTCTGGCAACTTCTGTGTAATAAGCTTTGTAGTATTTTGCCCATTTCATTTCAGTGGTAGGAGAAAGGAAACAATATGCCTTCCTGGTGCTATTGCAAAGGCATACATGAACTACTGTCATGGGCAGTTCCATTCCCAGATAGGAACCTGGTAAAGGATGAGCAGCTGGGGGGCGAAAGAGCATCCCCTCCCCTCTGAGCTGTTTCGGGTGCAGTTTACTCACACTGCACTGTCACCATTTAGAACAGATTTGTACTCCTTTTGTTTTTTTCCTCCTTTCAAAAATGTTATAAAAAAATGTATGTTGCTTTGAAATGTATTCTTCAGCACAGAATTAATTCATCACATCATCAGTAAGCACTAGTTCTCTTCTGTGTTTAATTTTTTCATGAAATTACAAGTAAAAAATGTAAGTGTTTATCACAAGTAAGACTTAAGACTTATGACTTTGAGTGTAAAAGTATGACTTCAGCAGCTCGCAAAAGACTGTCTGTAAAACAAAATCCTGTTGTTTTGAGGTTTGATATCTGACCATCATTAGTTTAAGGAAGAATGTATCTTAAAGGAAATTAAATTCTATCATGCCTGTCACTACAAAAAATGTGCAGATGTTGGATCCAATATCTCATGTAATACTACAACAACAAAAAAAAGTCAAAAGGGACATCTGAAACAGAAATTTGCTCTGTCTTTTATAATGTATGCATTTTACATAGATATTCCAGATGAAAACTTAATTTCTTGCATAATCACTCTGGAATGCTGCATAAGACATTTACAATATTGTATAGTATAGACTTAGGCTCGAAATACCAATTTTTAATCTCTATGTCCCAATTACACAGCCACTGTCAGAATGCCAGTGACATAATAATTAGCATTAATTTGAAGTGAAAAAGTTACAGTGAAACAGCAGCTGCGGAGATAAACTTTGACATCTTAACAGAATAAAAATAACTGAATTATTATTTCACTTCCTTGAGGTATAAACAGAGGAATACACATAGCAATAAGCCTTTGCAGAACAGGAATTAATGTCACCTATGAAGGAATAACTTCAAAGGTGACTTGTAGAGTCACCATTAGCATTCCAAGGTCTTCATCTGAGCCACAGATTTAATTCTATATTCCATACATGGCTATTTTGTATTCACTACTTATTCTACCACATGCACATGAAAACACAGTCACGCACACACACAGGTCTATATTTAAATCATGTTACAGGACCTAACTTAAAAACGTAAAAGCAGGAAAATATATTGTATAAACTTCAGAAAAAAACATCAAAAGAAAAGGAAATTAAGGGTAGTACTTCGGTCTTTATAAATGCCATTGTAACTCTCTCCTGGTCTTTGCATGGCACAGATCACAGGAGCAAAGAAAGCATTTCCAGTCATATTTTTGAATGATTTGCTTTCTGCAAGTTTCACTCAGACCCTCAAGGGTATATTTTCAAAGTATTGTGCCACTTTTGTAGTTTTGCAAGTCATATTTCTCTCTAAAATAATTTCAAATTAGGCCTAAGAATTGATGTAATGATTTGAACATTTTGCCTTTTCTGCAGATCTCAGCATGTATTTCTTTCTTTTAACAAGTAATCACTTTATTATTATTCAATTTATACATACACATTTGGGGTGGACATAGCCTGGTATTGTGTAAAGCTGCAGCTGCACAAGAAAATTAGATGGTATGGGAGTTCACTGACCAGTGCCACCAAAAGGGTAAAACTCAGTATGACCTTCCAATAATGACTCACAGATAAGCAGACTTCTTCCCAATTTTATGAATGTTTCAGTTATGTCTACATCTTCTGATGTTTGCCACCCATGGCAAATTGTGGTGGTTTTGAAAGCATCACAGCAAGAACAATGCATAGCTCAGTTTAAAAAAAATCAGCAGGATTTTCACGAGACTGCAAAGGCTTTTTGACATCTCCCATCTGAAGATCTACCCCAGGCTGAGCTGAGAATCTTCTTGAGCAGGTGCAGATTTAATGGGACACGATGGGTGCTTTAGCGTGGAGCCAGCTGTATCACATATGGTGCATTTGATACAGCTGCAGAAACATGGGGATGGAGCCTGCCCACCCTCTCTTTCTTTTCATCCCCCAGTTACTCCCCTGTCAGATAAAATGGAATTGTGTCTATGCTGGGAAGTGCCCACAGCCTGAACTACAGAAGCAGACTTCCAAATTCTAGGCACAGATGAATGTACAACACCTGGCATGTGGAGTATAATCCTTGTCTGCCCAGAGAAAACTTCAAGCATGTGCAATTGATGACAGTTCAAACGTTGGATGAGCCCCTTCTGTGACTGCTGTCAATGTGATGAAAATGCTGAAGTAGGGCTCCCTCCCACAGAAAAGGCAGCTTAACCAGGTTCACAGAAAAGAACTGCTTCAGACTACAAGGTCCATGAGGCACTACAGCAGTTCCAGGAGATAAAGAACAATTTCAAACTGATCCACAAAGTTGTATTGCTTTTGATATAACAGAGCAAACTGAAATCCTTTGGCTCAAGCATGTGAAGACAATTCATTCTGACATTTCCAGGTAGAAGTATTTTTTTTTTTATGTCTGTGAAAAATATCAGTATTTCAGAGTTTTGATATAACATCAGATACATTTTAGTAAACAAGACTTCAGAACATAAATTCTGGTTTTTGCCTGCTTCAAGTATCACCAGCTTTGAGTATCCATGAGCCATGAAAAGAACTCCTTCTGATTGTTTTTTTCCTCAATTCTGTAGTAAAGGTTTAACCATCAAGATTAAGAATATAATAAGGCCTCGCTTTTGAATCTTGAGAGCAAATGTTGTATGAGTCTCCATCAAATACAAGGCTTAAATTTAAAAAATCACATCAGATCTAAGATTCAATAATTACTTTCAGGAGCTGGAATTAAAAAAAGCCACAGAAAAATCACAAGAATCACCTGACATTCTTAAGATAGGGAACACTGCTATTATCAATGACTATTGGACAAAATGTTGTCCTTATCAGAAGATCACACATACTGGGCAACTTCTTCAGTGTTGATGCACAAGAGTCAACTACCTGCTGTGTCGTGGAGTGCAGTGGTAACAGAATTAGAGAGGCGGTACGACACAGTACAGAAAATCTCACAAATAGTATTATGCTTCTATTGTTGCTACAAACGTCTTCGTAAAATCTTTCTGTGCCTTGTTTGTCCCATTACTAAACTAGGGAGAGCAATCAGGTTTCCTCCATGGGAACACTGCCTTGAACACTTTAGGGAAAGCACTATAAAACTAAACATATTTGAGAAACCTGACTTTGTATGTTGCCTGGACACACAGGTTGGCCACGACTCCACAGCAATCTGCCCCAGCATTTCATGCTTATTCATATAGTTTCCCTTTCTTTCTTTGTACTATCCGCCCATTTTCCCAGTATGGAAAATCAGACTTACTAGTCTTTAGTTCCCCAGATCCCCTTGGAGAAATCTGCACTACGTTGTTTCATCTTCCATTCCTCCAGTACTGAGACCAATTTAAAGGATGTTTTGGACAGCACAGTAGTCTGACACTTTCATATTTGAGCTTCTTCAGAACTCCTAAGCAAACACCACCACTCCAATATTTTATTGCTACATGTTTTATCTAATTGTTTTAAAATCTATCTCGCTAACATGCTAATTTCAGTTAATTCCTCCAGCTCATTCACCCATGAACAGCATCTGATACAGGCTCCATGATACTGAGTATCAAAACAAATAATTCACCTAGTTTTTCTCCCATGGCTTTATCTTTGAGCTTTCTATTACACCCTGATCATGGTTTCTGGTTCCCTCAAGGTGCATAAAGGGCCCTCTCTTCCTTCATAAAGCAACTAGTTTATGTCACATGGTGTTTTCAGAGCTATAAATCTTTTAATTAAGCACTGAACAGAATTTCTGGCAGGGTTTGTCTGCATCGTGCCTCAGTTTTCTGGAAGGAACAAAGCTGCTACTAAGGATTGTTATTAGAAAAAATGTAAGCATGCTGTATTACAAGGAACAAGAGAAAGAAGAAAAGTATTGTAAAGGGAAATGAACTATTTTCCAACACACCATGAGAATTTAATCCACTACACAAACTTTAAGTCAGCATCCACATGCATGCAGTACTCAGAGAACTTCCTAATCTGTGCAATAAAATACAATACTGCTCTATAGGTATAAACCTTGAGGTTGATTTCAATAGCATTTTTTTCTACCCAAACATGGCCAATACAACCTCCCCACTCCCCCCAAAAAACACCCAAACCCAGACAAGAAACATAACAAACCAGAACCTGACTTAGGACTTCAGCACTGGGTCCCATGCAGTTTTTATATTTTAAGTTTGGCATTATAAAATAATCATTCCAGGACTGCGACCTTTTGTGCCAAGTTTCAGCCCGAAGCTGAGTTATTAACTGTAAGGGGTGGAAAAGTAAGGTATTTATAATGACTCCAGTGGTATAACCTTCATTATAACAGTGTGGATGGAGCTGCTATCAGAAAGACTTCCAAGAAGTTGGTGGGTGAAATTATAATTTATGTCATGCAGCACCTTGAGGCAAATTTTAAAACAATTATTTGTGAATGCTACAAAGACATTATCCTACAGCATTCTCATCAATAATACAGCCCCCCAAACTGATTCAGAAGAGGGAAAAACGCCATGATTCCAATTAAAGACAATAAACTGCACAGTCTGTATTATATCTCAGGTATCCCATGAGCCTATACTCTAGAAATGCCTTTTTTCACTATCTGATGACAGATACTTATTAAAATGTCCTCTTGTCTACACAAACTGGTATTTTTTGCACAAGCTTTTTCTTTCATGGAGGATAAATAAGCAAAATTCATATTCAGCCCAGCACCTGCTGAAGCTGTCAGCTGTAGTGTTTGTCATATTTCAATCAAAGCTGAAGCCAGCCAGTCATTTTTATACTGCACAATCCCTACATACTCGAGGACCAGAATTAATGAATTAGCTATTGATTAAATTCCACTCTAGCAAATCCACCGTGGCAAATAAATGAACTACCCGGGGCACGTGTAGGCCACGGCCAGACATGTCCGGGCAATCGATCAGTAGTTAGTATTCTTTTGGGATATAAGAACAGCTGATGATAATATGACATGTAGGAAAAGTCAGTGTAGAAACAGAGTCTGCTTCTGGCTGAGCAGATTATAAAGTAGGAAGGCATTTTTGATCCTTTTGCATTCATGTGTTATGACATATTTAGTCTATATATAATAGCAGAAACATGCATAAGTGTTTGCAGTACAGACAATACAGACAAAGGCAGACATAAGTTAAAGCCAAGGGCAAAAGATGAGATCCTGAACTGAGTTCTTATCATCAAACAAGCTTTGACTGTATCTGTATGTGTGACAGAAAAATAGCAAGCTTAATTTCACCCTTATACAGAGACAAATGCTGAATTCAAGGAAAATGTAGAAATGAGAAACAGCAGACAAAAGTCCCTAAGAGACTGAAGAATCAAGTCCATTCAGCTGGCCATTTCTGAAGGCTCAGATGTTATATTTTTGTTATTTAAGAAAATGATTTTTTTTCTTTCTATAAAAGAAACACTGCCAATGATCACTCTCCACCAGAAGTGTAACAAAATCAGATGAACAATTACATAAACACAGGAGGATAACTGTCTTATTGTTGGTGTAATTCTGAAAACTGTGTTAGTGAGCTTAGTTTTAGTCTGCCTCTGGAAGGTATTAACTCACAAAGAATCACTGTATATGTTACTATTTGGCTTCTTCTGATGACTGCAAATCTGCTGCTCCCTTTACAATTAAGTTTGCCCATGCCTGTGTAGTGGATAGGCAGACTGCAAAGAATGGTTCAAGGAGACATAGATATGCATGCTTTCTAAGACATCTTGCTAATTCCTACTGTTGTGATAGGTGACTTTTTTCTACCCTCAATTATTCTAAGTTTCCACTATCAGCATCGCACTGCTCCCTAAGCATTAATCTTACTCTGCTTAACTGACAGCAAAATGTGATAATTTTCATTCCTCCACACTTCTTCTCTTAACTACATCCCCATTGCTTTATTTATTATCATGGGACAGTGATACCCAAATGAGTATGTACAATAAACAAAGGGTGAGATTTCTTCAATTGCTTTTCTGGCCAAAATCTCAAAGACCAAAAATAACAACCATGAAAAATGTTTTCCAAGTGTATACGGAATTCTTTTATACACTTTATTCAACTGAGAGAAGACAACCGAACATTCTGGTCCCCATTCCAGCTGCAAATCACTCTGATATATGAAAGCCACCTATAGCATCATACCTTGAGCCAATTATGTGAATAATGGGTGCTGACAGATGCTTTGGCTCATCTTCCACAGTTGTAATCTGGGTCCCATTGCTTCTCACACAGGCATACACCGTGCAGGCTTCTATCTGATGAAGAGAACATGAGTTTCACATACTCAGATGCAGAAATCATTCAGCTCTGCTACCTGTTTAGACTTCTCTCTTCACCCAAGATTTTATTCTTTTCTGTTTAACAGATTCCACACAGCCGGGAAAACACTGCGGCTCTGAGATAAGTATATCTACCAGAGGTATGCTGCACTGTATCACATTTTCCCACACCATTTTCAAAAAAAGGGGTACATGCAGCCCTCTGGCACTAATTGTTGCTCTTCATTAAACTATCACCAATGGAGTTGCAGTGAATTTGTTTTCTGCATGTATATGTGTAGAATCTGGTACACAACACCAAAAATAATGTACCTTGATTTGGGGCCTTGAGTAAGTTTTCTACACCTACTGTGTATTCTGATATAAAAATAAGGATAATTTTTCCCTAATATTTTCTAATCCTTCATGTCTATTCTAGAAAATTAAAATAAAAAAATGCAAATAGGAATCATACACTTTGTTATGAAAAATGCCGCAGACATAAAAACTTATTCCTTCAATTCTTGGGATTAAACTAAGCACAGGCGAAGTGAAATAGCTAGTGAAGGATGGTAACATTGTCTCTGTATTGTCAGAAAAGTTACTCAAAAATAAAAGAGCACAAAAAATGAAAGATAATGCAGTACGATTACCAGTGAGATGCACATGCATCCAAAATAATATTATTTCCAGGACAAGCGGAAAAAGAATAAAAAGAAAAAAAAAATTAAACTCAGCGTATTTTGGTTTTACTTATCACACTGATGTAAATATAAGCCCAGTATAAGGACTAGGAAAGCAGAAGAGAAGAATAATTAACATCTCACGCAACAGAAGGTGGCCATGGTAAATTAATATAGAGGGTCTGTAAGTGAGGCAGTACACTGAATTTGCATTGTTATTGAGAAAAGACAAATGTGTTTCCAAGCGGCATTCAGAAAGTCATATGTGTATTCATGGATGGAGGCTTGCTGTTTCAGAGGGGCTGGAACATAGAAATCTGTTACGGTATGCCTGTCTGTGATGTTTATTTATGGCATGTAGTAACTGGGTGCAAATATTCAGAACGAAGTATACATAGTATTACTAAGTCCTTCTCCTATACAACACAAACCAAACCTGAACAAAATAGACAAGAATAGTTACAAATAGGTGTCAAACTGCATTTCTTGAGTACGTTAATACAATTTAAGGATAGAAATACAGTATTTATTCTTTTTTTTTTATTCTGCACATAGGATTTTGCCTTTGATTAGATATACGAATAGAGAGGCAAAGATAGAGAAAGCGAAGAGCAAAGAAAAAATATTGTACTTATTAACAGCACAAAAAGTACTACTATGATATCAGAGATCAGCTCTGCTTCCTCCTCAGAAGGATAAAGAGACAAAAAAATGATAAAAGGATGACAAATGCAATATCATTATTTCTCGTTGCTGATACATTATGCATGCCTGATGCTTCTAAAACAATTGCAATTTTCTTTTAATGAGTAGGAGTAGAATCTCTGCCTTTTTGTAATATATGTTTGAGCTTTGCTAATGTTGTAGCACAGAGCATTTAGGGGAAAGTAAATGGAGTTTTGATGGTTTGAGAAAAGATAATGGAAATTTGTATTACGAAAAGTGTACACAGACCTAAAATACACTGAAAATAAAATTTATGCTTTGTATGTATATGCACACAAACATCAGTGCAAATATATGCCCATGTATGTAAAGAAATTAATGAAATTATATTCCTCTTGGAAATACATATATTTTATGCAAAATTAAAGTATATTACACAGCCCAGAAAAGATATTCTAACCTGTATATCATACACAGTGAATGGAGACAAATTCGCTAAAAGAAAAGACCCCGGCTCGTTCATTCCAGTCTTGTACTGCTTATTATTTACATAGATAGAGTACTCTGTGACAACACCATTCGGGTTTGAAGGCGATGTCCAGATGACACGTACAGCTGTACTGTTGATGATGACAACCTCTGGAGGGAACATGCCCTCAGGCTCTAGAAATAAAGGAAGAAACTGAATAAACTCCAGCTGTCTCTGCAAAAGCACTTGTTTAACCAAATGCAGAATAGTATTTAGGTTTAGCAAAGGGTTCACTGCTTATCTGCTTTCCTCTGATGAAGTTATCACAGTCTGTAGTCTTCTGTAAATTGGCTTATTATACTCTCAGTTAGAAACCATGAGAGCTGATGGTAAAATGCTTTATACCAGCAGCATAGTGTCAATCATCAGTAGTATGTGGCCAGTGAGATATGATGATAAATTATTCACCCATCTGCACTGCCAACATACAAATACTATTTTTATGTCTGCTCCATTCCTAATCCTTCCAAAAAAAAGTGAAAACCAGAGCATTTTTCTTTTAAAGCAAACCCTGAGACCAAAATTCTTAATGTCTGGTGAAACATGACGTTATCAGCCTCATAGTTCAAGCAGTATGAAGCAATATGCAATATTGTCATTATGTGAATGGTTTTGAATGTTGATTACTATAGGCAATGATGAAGTCTAACACTTGCTTTAAAAAAAACCCACCAACCTCTTCCTTAGCATTAAATTACACAATTATCTAAGCATGTCAGAAATAACCATGCAAAGACCTATTTTTATCATAAGAATGCATCTTTAGCAGTTGAAAAATTGCCCTTACAATAATTCTATTTTATAAACAAAAGGTGCTGACCTTTGGCATCAGAAAGGAAATGGAATCCTCACTTAAAGTGCTTTGCTAATGACCTGGAACACTTGTTTCTGAGGTAATGATATTATAATGTTTATAATGAGACTTTATAAAGCAAAAAGATTAGAAAGACCATTCTAAACACATTTCAGACGCACAATTTTTTTATTATTATTTCATCCTCTCCCTCCCCCTCCCTCCACTTGCCCACTGGCATAGAAATGACTCATAAAGAATTTTTTTAGATGCTGAATTTACACCTACAGTTTCTGGTGACTCAGGAAAGACCCTGTGTATGACTGTCATGTCAAAAGCACATCGCTTCACAGAGCAAATCTTTTAAAAAACCCATTAATTGTTTCTAAATTCCACCATTTATTGATAGGAACTCAGTTCCAAACTTAGTGCACACAGATAGGAGCATGCAGGAGATGAGAACAAACTGGGTTAATATCTGCTATTAGAGCTTTTGCTTCTGTCTCAGTGGGACCGTTTATTGATCTACCACATGATGACAACCAGCACTTAAGCATTTTAGCGTTTTAGCCCTTTTTCCTTTTATACCGGAAATTTCATAATGGAAGGATGACTGATCTCAACCCTCACAAAAATCAATCATTTTCATTCTCAGATTGTAAGCCAAGCCGCATTCCCTGCTAACCAACCTCCATCTGAGGTAGTCACATGCACAACTTCACTGTTGATGTTGTGTGCTCCGTTAAAAACTTGAAAAAATATCTGATACTCTGTGTTGGGCTGCAATTCACCTATGACTACAGAGTTTACATCAGCCTGGATCCTCAGAGATCTTCTATCATTAGTAGAATTTAAGAAGAGGGTGTAATATACAACATCTCCTTGCAAATCTTGCAGTGCTAAGAAAAGAAAGGAAAAACATTGGGAGATCAGCTGGGAAATATTCAGTCAGCAAGTTTCTTATCAACAACATTTACTGCAAAGAGAAAAATAAATTTTATGCAGACCCCCTCACTTAAAAAAATAAAAGGCAAAAATTCTGTCAAGTGCCTTCAATTTCACCCTTGTAAGCAGACTGCTCTTCCAAACTTGTCAAAATCATTAACAGTTCATCATCCTATCTGATACTGGAGAAAGCTTGCCTTCTCTAGACATCCTCATGATGACAATGGAATCTGTGAAGTAAAAAAATTAACAGTGAAACTCACTGCTAGCAGTGATGCACAGACCTTGAGGCTTGCCACTGCAAAAGGATGTCTTTCACCCAGATAGAAGGAAGAGGGTAAATCAAATTGCTCTGTGGCACTAGTTTAAGATGGAAAGTTCAAAGATTTCTTCCCTTTTTGCTCCTTCCTTTCAAACAACACTCCCCCACCCCACGCCAGAAGTACTGAATGCCTGTATTAGTCCTCCAGCGATGAATAAGCGGCAAGTGCCTATGCCTTAAATTACAGTTACATTCGACTTTTCACAGATGGCCTTTTGGCCATAGTGAAAATGAAAATCTATGTGTTGTTATTTTAGATCAAGCATGATAGCATCATCCACATGTAAAGCTGTACTTCTCTCAGAAGCATGACATTTATGGGAAAAAAAACCCAAAACAAACAACTCCTTACAGTTCTTCCAAAAACTATGTTTTGCCCAGCACTAGGTTCCCCAGTAAAACAAATTAAAAAAACAGTAACATTTTCTGGCTACACAGGGAAGGACATTCACTGGTCTGAGCTGGTGGATAAACAAGTATTCCAGTCAAGTCTTGCTTCTCCATTTTAGTGATTCAGATGTAGTCTGTTATATTATCTGTCCTTTGTCAAACAGTTTAAGTTCAGATCTGATCAAATGCAACTGTTTTTCCAGTAGGCATCAAGATGAAAAGAATAATTATGACAAAAACTTTAAGCACTAACAGGTAATGCTTTAGACGACACACTGTACCACTGAACAAGACTCAGCTAACTGGGAAAGAGCAGTGATAAAAGCCAAAAGCATATTTTCAGATTTAATAATACACAGTTTTGTCATAGAAGTTCTTAATCAAGAGTGATATATTATTATTATCTTAAGTAGTACAGATAAAAGTCCTAAATCCTGACAAGTCAGAAACCCTCAGTAGGTTTTCCAGACACAGAAAGATAGCAAGGCAACTTACATTAAGGAGCCCCAAGTTCCCAAAGAAAACAAGAAAATCATTTGAAAACTAATATTATGAAAAAAAGAAACATGGATATACAAAATAGTTAATATGCTAATTGCGACATAACAAGTAATAAAATATGATAAGGTTTTGAAATAATGAATGGCCCTGTCTTGGTGTTTAACCTTTGCATTCACAAATATGTATGGAGGAAATTTCTAAGGTATGAATGAAAACAAAACTAGATTGCATTACCTACATCTAGAAGGTCAGGGGTTTAGATTACTAAGGTAATGAAACTTCAGTGAGCTGCTTCAGATCTATTACATTTGTCAGTTTTTATAAGCATGCTTACTTCAGGCATGCAATTACAAAATAAAGAGACTACATTTGTTGCAATTCAGCACCCAGTTCATATAAAATCATTTGCAAGTAAGTCATGAAGAAATTCCCCACTGCTGTATTAGCAAACCAACTAGAGAAATTGGCTAAATTCATTTTAAGGAGCAGAGCAAAAACAGAGAGAAAGGGGAACCTTTCATTCTGAAGCAACATACATGTAAATTTTTATACAAAGAGATTAAATATACCACAAAGACAACAAGATTTGGTGTTACTACTACCTTATAGATTTCTCATGAGTTTGCATTAACTATTTCTTCACTTTCACTATTCTCGTTCTGCAGAAATAGCATATTATAAACATGAACATTACTGAGAAATAGCAAAATGTGCACTTTTTTTTTCCTGTTTCTTTCCTCTCCTTTCAAGGACACTTAGGTATATTATAAATCAAGACAAGGACTGTGTTTCCTATGAGAGCCAGGCAGACCAACATAAGTGATGGCAGGTTAACATCTAGTTACTGCAACAAATACTAAGCACACTTACTTGGTTTTGACCATTCCACTTCTACAGCAGTATGATTAACAGCACGTGCAATGAGAATACTTCCTTTCTCTGGTAATCCCGCTAATGTAGTAGCTATCACTTCTTCACTTGATGTATATCCTACCTCGTTGTGCACTATGAGCTTGTACTCGTATGTTGTGTACCTAAGACATTTTAAAAATAATTGAATGGAACAAAAAATGCAGACATAGAAAACATTTGCTGTAAACCTTCTGCCTGTGCCAAAGTTTTGTTGTTTCTTCCTCCCCAGTCCGAAAAATTCAGCTGCATGGTTTGCACCAATGAAGACTCTGTAAGAAGTGTCTCTCTTTGGAAATAATTCAGCATGATTAACATGGTAACTAAAATAAAACACATTATTTCACTTCTTCATAGTTGCAGCTTCTGAGGTGTTGAGAGATTATAGCTCAATTCAATATGTAATTACAGCAGTGGCAACCTGCCAAAATTTGGATCAGAATTTAATCAAATGAGGCTTTTTTCCTCTTTTGGGAAAACCATTGATTTTAACTTGCGGAGTCTCATTTGTAAAAGTGATTCACCACACAGCCAGGACTCTCCCACTACAAAAATACACACAAAAAAAGTGCCTAGGAATGCAAACTCCTTTAATAAAGTAATTTTCTTCAGAACTATGTATATTTAACTTACACAGATTAATTAAATATTTCATGTATATTTAGTAAACCAAGTGATTGTCACTCCATAATTTTTTCTCTGTATCAAATGGCATATTAATGTATTTTAAGTGGGATTTCATAATCTCAAATTTAATTTCATCATAAAAAGCCTCACGCAAAACTGCAGTTACAGAAACACAGAATCATCTTGTTCAAATTTTCACTGAAGCTGCAGCACTTTGGGATAAATGTCTCCAAATGCAATAAAGGAACGTACAGTAAATGCCTACTACTTAGAGATCTCTACAAAAAGTCTCTCACACTGTATATTTACTTTTACATTTTTTTTACAGCTTTACTGTAGCATCCCATATGATGCAACTATCCAGCCTGATTTTCAAAAGAGCAAAGCTTTAACAGTCCCACTGAGAAAAAGGCAAACTAATGGGAGCTCACTAGCTCCAACTGTAACTAGAAGGATAGCAGAATGGTGACAATATACATAACACATCGTATTTCCCTCTCTGCATTTTCTGTTGCTTGCAAACTTGTAGTATTTTCTTGGACACTGTAGCACACATGCAATAAAAAATGCATGGGATCTAGTCTAGCAACTTAATGATGAGAATGAGAAATTCATTTTTAGATCCATATTTCCAACAATGAAAAAGAAATTCAACTTTGTTTACTAGATATGAAGAGGACATCTGAAAAAAACCATTGTAAAAATAGGCTTCTGCCAGGAATATAATAAAATTCACTAACACTGAAACATGCTTAAAGCATGAAACAAATGAAAATAGATGCTGATATATGGATTTTCTTTCCATGAAAAATAAGGCTTGAGTCTCTGCGACATCTTCTCTCCAGCCACAAACACATCCTGAGTTGTTGACTGCAAAAACATAGCTGCAAGTTGCCAAACCCTCCCCAAAAGAAGTGCTCAGGTGTGTCCGAGGGTCAGGCACACTTTTCTGGCCATAGCTCATTCAACTAAAAAGGTCATTGTACCTAATGACTTGTCACTGAGGCCCCATCAGAATTTATTGCTCCCTCAGAACTGCTAACATAACTGCTGCACACGTCAGTGCTGCTGAAATGAGCTAAACTAAACCAAAGGAAACTCTATGTAGGATTCCAAACATGGCTGAAAGAAAGAAATGGACACTTGGGCAGGATTGGGTGGAAGAACAGCTCCATGATCAGTTATTGCAGCAGATAAAAATGAGCAGTGACTTTCAGCAAGTAGGCAGTGACAAGCCAGAGGCGGTATTCCTTGGCTTGGTTCAGTCTACACAACAGTCAGGAGCAGAGGTCACATTCTGCTGGTTCCTGTCGTGCTCAGGAGGGATGCTCACACAGCTTTTATCAAAGTAAGCAGAAGCAACATACGTATATTTGAGGGGCAATGATTGACGTGCACTGCCATAAAGCATGCCAGCACACAAGCACCGAGAACACACACATCCTGAAATCATCCATTAATGTTTTCCTGAGAATTTACCTACAAAAAAAAAAAAAAAATGCAGCATACATGTTGAATCTTCTATTACAAGTTCTTATGTGTGCATTTGCTTGTTTTAAGGGTGGTAGCCTTGACTTCAAGACACGGAAGCTAAGGTCAATCAAGAGCAAATGTCTTACTCTATACCACACAGTAGGTCTGTTACACACTCTGAAACAGAACCCACCCTCCGTTTCCCCACTCTCAACACTCTGCATTTAACTATAATGAAGCTAACACAAAGTTGCCCTTATATTAGATCTGCCAAGAGTGTGATAAATACTCTTCTTGCCTTTGGAGATACTAAAGCAATCGTTAATTTGCACTTCTAAAACCAGGTAAGAAAAACAGCGCTGAAACCAAGTTTCAAATGTTTCCCAGCTAGGACTTCTCAAACATTCATTCTTCCTGTGCTATGACTTTGCCAACACACAAATCTGGAGTGTATGTACACATAAATCTAAATGAGGGCATGAACATATCTATGCTAAAATTTCACAAGCTCTTTATTTTCATTTGTTTTTCAGAGCAAAACAATATATGAGTCAAGAATGACAGACTAATAATAAATCCCTGCATATTAGAATGATTAATACCAAAGATGATGACAAAAATATTTCATTACATAATTAATATGTTCACTACATAAAGACACAAGAAATACTTTGAACTATTAAACATACACTATACAAAATGCCAGCATTTGTTTTTATAGTTTTTGTAATCTCACCTGCTAAGACCCTTATCTTCATAAAACCACTGAGTTCCTGAGTAAATACTGTGCCACAGATTTAAATCTTCAGGGGGATTTGATGCAAGTGGTTGCTGGATTTTACGTCTCAGGAGCTCATATCTAACACAAAAGACAAGCAGAACACCAGGATTATCTCAACTAATGTTATTACACAAAAAACCCTGTGTTTTTTTTTTAAAGCCACACATTATTTTGTTTTTACAGCTGTAAACTTTCCGAGGTAAATATTCTTTTTAATGTTTCATGATTTAAAACATTTAAAACATTCAACTACTTAAAAAAGCTACTTTGAAAACGGAAAACTAAGCACTTCAATTTGAAAGAATGAGTTCATTTAATGATTTACAGATTTTAAACTTGGTGGAAATGTTATGATGATCAAGTTCAAATAGCACAGTAACAGTCTTTTACACAGACTTGACTGATATCATCTGATATGCACAGACTGCCCCAGAATATGAACTGACAATGTCTCTTTCTTGCAAATGTGCTGAAACACATAGCACTGCTATTACTATCTTACTGGTAGTAGTAACCTAAGTGTGTATTGTGTTTAACATGTGTTTGCTAATAACCACAGTGTAAATTACGGGTGACAAACAGGCGTGGAAAGAGTTAGCTGTTCCATCTGTAGACCTTAGCAAGGCATCTTTGTATTTGGGTAGACATTCACGACATCAGCTTGAAAGACCAACTATTTCATCCTGGTTTTAATTGGTATCTGAAGTTGTATTCCTGTCTCTGTTCCAAATAGCAGGTCAGCTAAAGCCCATCTTTCATCAGGTCAGCTATCAGACTGCCTGATTCGGAACACATGCCTTCCACTATTCTGCACCACTCAATTTTCATCATCTTTTCTACAAAACCTTTATGGAATTTCACAAAGATTAAATCACTCAATGTCTATGCAAACTGAAGGTGATAACATATTTTGCATTTTCTAATCATTCTAGGGATTACGTAGAAAACTATACAGGAAACAAAATTATATAGATTTCTTCAAAATCTTTAGGATTATTATTCATTTTTACATTTCACAGGACTTTTTTAATAGGATTTTTGTTTCAGTTTGATAGTGGTGTTTTCTTTGTAAGGCACCAAAACAGATGTCTGTACTCTTGCTACCGGAACCACTCTGGACTTGCTTTCAATGGTGAGCTGCAGTTTTAATCAAGCTATATTTGCAATAGTGTTTCCACCGATGCCCAGCAAATTAGGGTCATATGCATATATAGTCACTTAAATACACAACTTCATTCTCTAAAGTGCTGAGCTGCTGTCTGTCATCCTTTCCCTGTCCCCCATTTTGGAAAGGTGCTACCATTAAATTCCAGCCAAAAGTATGTGGATACTGAGGGAGATCTTGAAGACTCTCACTTGAAGCATTTATTTGTGAAAGTTTCTTTCTGTGTTTAAGCATTCTGCAGAATGCCTTGGTGTGGGTCACCACCCCATTGCAGTGATCCTTCTGACCACTGACTCCATGTGTAATTTGACACGTATCTTTTTTATGTTAAGAACAGCTCCAGTCTGATGAGCAAATGTTGGACAATACCATTCCAGATTTGAGACCCTGAATTAAGAGAGTATTTAATAGGTACTGTGTACAGTGATTTTGCATTGCTTCAAAACCAGAAATCAACTGAGAAGCTCTCTTACAAGAGAGGTGAGACTTCCCATGCTCCATGGCAGCTAGGATATATGTGAATAACTTTCACTAACCTTTGCCCTTGAGTTTGGGGAATAATCCTCAACAGGTGCAAACAAGCATTGTGCCACTGACCTTAGTGATGCCAAACCAAACTGCGCAGAATTTGGGAGTATAACCTCAGAAATTAAATAGTAAAAACCAATTAAACTCCAACTCTATCAAAACATTCAGATGACTTTATACCCGAAGAACAACTCTCATGAGTGGTACATCAGTGTCAACAGAACACAAAGACAGATCATTATAGTTTTATTAGGAACAGCCCTGGCATATTCTGTCTGATATATTTCATAGACAAGTCATGAAAAACATCAAAATCTTTTAAACACTGAATGGTGATCATGTGTAAATCACCCCCACTGGCAGCTACTGCTGCTACTCTGCTTGCTGCAGACTTCTTGCTCCATCATGCTGTACAGAGCAGATGCTTCAGTGCTTGTTCTTGTTGAGGGCAGCATGGCACACCATGAACGAAATGAAGTCTGCAGATGTAGGTCGTGCTGAATTACTTCAATAATCTATGGTAAAATGGTCGTGTTGTTAACCCCAGAATAACAGGGACTGCTTTTCAAAAACTTCAAATTTTACTGTAGAGCAATCATCATTTCATTCAGTGTGCCCTAATTAAGCCTGAAGAAAGAGTCAAGCTAGTGTGCTGTAATAACATACGCAACTGAAATGGCATTACATGATAATTATTGAACCCATCAGTGCACCTTGAAGAGAGCTACTAACCAGAACATATGGAGTACAGAGATATAATTCCATGCACAATATTTCACAACACGTTAAAGTACTAGAATGAAAGATTTGTTTGACATTTTTTACTGCGTATATATAAGGATACATTTGTATTTATAAATCTTCATGCATTCAGATCCACATTTTTTAATGTATATATACACACATAACTCAGTAATCAACAGATTCAAGATTCCCACTCCAGCATTCCAGACAGATCTCAGAGGATATGCCTTTCTCCGGTTCCTGTGGTAAACATCACCCTGTTATATCCAGCACTTCCTTGCATTTCCCATTTTTGGTTCCGACCCCCAAACTTGTAGCATTTTAACTTTCATTTTTCTCACACAATCTCTCATTTGCAATTTATTATTTAAGTTTTGAAGATTATTTCATGTCAGCACACTTCCAAATGGTCACTTTACTTGGAATAACCCACAAAGAGTATTAAGAATATTGGATGTGTTACATACTTACATTCACAGAGATCTCATACTTTTCTTGTCATTTTTTTGGTGGAACCTGCTGCCTGACCTCACCACCAAAAAGTGGCTGATACTGCAGTTCAAACCAGTTATGACTTTGCAAATATCCTGTGCTTGCTCCTTCTGGCTTTTCAGACAGCACTGATCTGAAAGACCCAGAGCATTCCTGAATGTGTTCTGCAAAGGAAATGCCACAGCACAGACACCACACTTGCTCTTAATAATCCTGACTCTTTGAAAGTTCAGAACAATTCAAAGCTCACCCTGCTATCTGCTTCTAAACACACCTACTTTCCACGAGTCCACTCATTGACTCCTGAACACTAAAGAGGAACATCAAAAAGCCACAAATTCAGAGATCACATCATAAAGTTTGCATCAACAGAATTTTCTGAGTTAGATTTAGGTAAGGAGAAGAAAACTGCTATCTCAGTTGCAACCAAGAGCTTACCTCAGATGAGGACCATTTGGCCTAAGCGGTGGTTGCCAAGAAATGGCAATAAAGGACTCGCTGATTGGAGTCACAGACAATGGACTAACACTCTGAGGAACTGTTGAAGGTGTAGTCACACTTGTAGGCAAACTCTCCGTGCAGCCTCCCAGAAAGCCATCACCTCCAGAACAAGCTATTACAGTAACTGAGTAGTTTGTATAGGGTATAAGATTAGTCACCAAATGACTTAATGTTGATGAAGTGTTCCCAGTAATGACAATTCGTGGATCAGGCATGCGAATCTCATAGTTAAGGATTTCGCCATTCTGTATCAGAGGAGGTTTCCATGAGACCTGAAGGAGGGGAAAAAGAAAATTAAAAGCAACAGATTTCTTACAGTCAGAATGCAGAAATACAGACAGAACATGCTACAAATGGACAAGTAGGATCTGAAGACATGCTTTTCCTTCTTCATCAAAACAGACTTTGTGTATGACCTTTAACTGAAATTTAATTTTTAAAGGTACATCAGTTAGAAATCTAACCTCCTTTAATTTTAGTGAGGGTTGCACTACGAGTTGTAGCCATTGAAAAATCTACCATTCAGCTTCCCCAGTAAAATGCGAATGCTCCACTTCACTCAAAATTCTGTGAGATGATCCGATGCATTACCAAATGTACACTAATGATCATAAGTATCACTAACTGTCATCTATTTTCTTAGGGTGTATTACCTGGTGTGCTCATCTATTAGTGGCAGAGTAAAAAGAAACGTATTTTGTGTTTGCACAATTTTCAGAAATATATAACTGCTTTAGCTCCTGTGAGAAACAAGATCTGTTCACACTCTTTTTTGACGAAATATGCAGTTTTCCCTTTTCTTTTTTCAATAATAAATTACATTGGCAAGTAACAAGAGAAAGAACAGGCACAATTTTCCATTTTTAGAACTATAAAATTGTGCTGAGAAAAACCTGATCACAAAAAAATTGGAAATTACGGACAGAATTCATGTTATACATATGCACATACTGCTACGCTTACTGTGGTTTTACTTAACTGAGGCTGACGGGGGGGGTTACGTTTTTCTTTTTTTAAGTGTGTATATATACACACACTTAAATTTAAGTATACTTATATATATATAAAAGTATATTTATATATACTTAAATTTAAGTGTGTTTGTTTATATAAATATCTGTTCTTACTACCTCCAGTGAAGAATCACACTCAAACCATTGTAACATAAAGTGAAAGTATTTTCTCAATTATTTTTTTAAGGCTTTTTGCCATTATGTCATGTCAGGGGACTTCAAACTGACACAACAAGGACATGTAACTATATCAAGAATTTCAAAGTTTCATAAAGGAGTGTAAGAGCATCTATTAACCCTTCTTCCTCTAGAAGTCCCAGTGTAGGAAGTATACCAGCTTTGCTTTGCTCATCCCTGGGACTGTTTTCCTTGCCATTGACCCGCTCATCTACAACAATTGCTGTCTCTTTTCCTCCCGGGCAGGGTGTAATTAAAGATTGAATCCAACATCGCAAATAACACAGAAATGGAGAAAAACTAGATGAAGGTATGTGCAGAATAAAATGAACAAAGATAATACTGAACTGTCAAAAAGTAATACCAAGACTTCAGTTTAAGTTAAGTTGAACTTTTTCCTTAATTCTCTCCTGCCTTGAAAGTATCTTTACAAAGGCGTATGCACAACTACACATGGACGTGGAAACAGAGAAGCTTGATTTATAAAATTATTTTTAAGGGACCCTTGGGGATTAGGAAATGCTATACCTTAGGTACAGAAGGACCTCTTAGGCCATCAGACTTGTAAAAAACCTGGCAGCAAAGTACTGGAGAAAGCTGAAGGATTTTGATAACAGAATCTGGAATACTATTAAACAGAGAATTAGAAACAAGGTGATCTTGAGTAAAGAAATCACAAACAAGATTATTGTTGCCCACATAGGAAAGGCTTAGCTTTGGCTAATTATCAAATGCTGTATTGAAATTTCTGTTACTTCTGGCCCCAAATCACGATCACATACATAAAGCACTATTGATAAAGCAATGTAAAAATTCACAGAAGGTAGGAATTGATTCTGCACCATTCTCACAGACATTGAGCAAAACTCTCATTTTGAAGTAGTTCGTGTGATCTAGCCATAAGCTTAAGACGCAGAGAAGAATGGATGATTAGCACAGACAACAGGAAATGTTTTCAAGTGCGAGTATGTGCTGCTTTTGGCTGGTACAGAGTTAACTTTCTTCATAGTGGTACATATGGGGCTATGTTTTGGATTTGTGCTGGAAACAGTGTTGATAATACAGGGATGTTTTAGTTATTGCTGAGCAGTGCTTACACAGAGTCAAGGCCTTTTCTGCTCCTCACTCTGCCCCACCAGCAAGGAGGCTGGGGGTGCACCAGAAGTTGGGAGGGGACATAGTGGGGACAGCTGATGCCAACTGACCAAAGGGATATTCCACGCCACATGACATCATGCTGAGCAATAGAAAGCTGGGGGAAGGAGGAGGAAGAGGGAAACGTTCAGAGTGATGCCCTTTGTCTTCTCAAGTCACCGTTACACATGATGGAGTCCTGCTTTCCTGGAAATGGCTAGAACACCTGAAGATTAATTGCTTATTCTGTTTTGCTTGTGCACGGCTTTTGCTTTACCTATTAAACCGTTTTTATCTCAACCCATGAGTTTTCTCACTTCTACCCTTCCGAATCCCAACCTCATCCCATTGCAGACGGAGTGAGCAAGTGGGCTGTGTGGTCCTTGGTTGCTGGCTGGGGTTAAACCACGACAACGTAGAAAGCATTTGCACTGGTAAACTTCCAGTGAAATTTCCAATACCAGTGCTTTCTGTTGCTATCATACTGTACACATTGGATACATTGTATATGCCAGAGAAAGAGGTGAATGTGCATGAATCACTTTTATTTTCAGCTATGTATCTTTGAAGTTGCTGGAAGAGGCACAGAAGAATTTAAGGTCTGACATACTACAGCATAACACCCATTTCTTCAGCCATGTTGTTCTTTTTTGAGGTGTAGCACCTATCCTGAAATTCTGCCTCAGTGAAGTGTGACTAAAAAGAATATATTCAAAGTATTTTCTAGGACTATTAATAAAGTAAATCTGTCATTATCTGTGAATAAAACCCTCTTGCTTGTTGCTTAACGCAAGGCAGCTTCTAATAAAAGAACTAGATGTCAAATGCTTTGGAAAATTCCTAGTACTACCTTCTCAGAAGAGAATTCTCTAAAAAATGTTTATGCTGTGCCAAAATTTTTTTTATTTCCTGGAAGAGAGGAGTTGTTTGTTCATTACATTACATTTTAGATTCCTAACTTTTATGCCAAAATCCACAGAATTAGTTTAATAGAACTTGCCCAAGATTTGCCACATACTGAAGCCCCTTCACATAAAGGAACAGATTAATAACATGGTCAGGATTACAGACACTGCTACATAGCTTCAGCTCCTGAGTTTTATGCAGCATGTGCACTGGCTGGTAAAACTTGACAAAACTCCCAGGTGTTACTATTCAGTATTTGCTGTACACTAGCAGACAAAATATGTCATACTGTACATATGTGCTTATACCTATACCCATAGGTGCTTCATGGGGCTTACACTAGGAAATTTCTCAATTTTTTTTTTCTAAGAGAAATGAAAACCAGGCTGAACAAAAAGAATATTCAGTCAGCAGCATGACATAGAATGCAACATATTTTTGTCTGGACATGGATATCTCATACAAAGATATGTATATCAGTTATTGCTTTGGTTAGTATTATTTTAAACTAGATAAACAGGTGACCAGGGATGCTCACAGTCATTGCTGTGTCACTCGACCTGCTCTAAATTATGTATGTCCCTGGAAATGATAGGACACGCAGTCTCTGACACACCTCACTTGTCAAGAGGCAAGGGACTGCCTGACCCATACAGTGTAAATGAAGATGATGGAGCCAGCCTGGTTAACACACATGTGGCACTACTGCACCTCTTCTCCACTTTGATGTGCCAAGGTTTGAGGTAAGAGCTTGGCAACGCATGAAAGCAGGAAAGCTCACTAGACAGGCTGTGTTGGAAGCAGTAACAGTTTGTTCATTGATTTGAAGCTCAGCACTGAGACCATGAAAGAGGATGCCCATGAGGAAGAGAGAATAAGGTAACTACTGGGAGAGATTAACTGATTCAGTGTAATGACTCTGGAAGCTGTCATTTAAAGATCAAAGCACCTTATTTTCTCCACCACAAAATTTAAAGAGACAGAAATTAGCCATTTTCCCCCCATTAAACAGTTATAACCTTGGAAATCTTTCTTTTTCTTTTTCTTTTTTTTTTTGACAGTAGTTGGAACCCTGCAATTTAATTCTGAGCTACGTGAAGAGAGACATTGGCACATGGGTAACTATTTTACTAGTTCAGGCCTGGCTTCAACAGTTTGCTTTAAAATCAGCATGTTTGGCTTCATTTTATTCTCATTTCTCCTAGCCACTGCTTGTAATATGTACAAACAGAATGTAATAAATACACTACTGAGAGCTTTTCACTGTTGGTCTCAAAGCATGTTGTAAGTCTCATATTTCAAGTATTATTATTCCAGTTTTACAGATGAAAAGACTAAATCCCAGACTAATTCATGTATCAGTAAGAAGCAAAACTGAAAACAAAGACCTGTTACCCTAATTCTGCATTCCAGCCACTGGACTATAGTCCTCTGCCAACATCCCATCCCCCCCCTCCAAAGTAGTTGGGAGATGAATTTCTTCTTCAGTTCTTATCTATCTTAACAGAAATTATAGTGGGATTCAATCAAGAGTTGGTATCGCACCAGAAAAGCAAATCCTGACAGAGGTCATCGACAATTATACACTTTGCCCATGAATTGCATCCAACTTCAGCAAGCTCTACCACAGAAGAACAGCACAATCAAGTTTGCAGTAACAGATTGCTACTACAAATATTTGTAGAGGCTCTTAGCTTGAGTATTGCAAAACCAGAAGCAACATTTATTTATGATCCTAAACACCTACTACAGTAAAGTGTTACGTTATATCAAAGGCTGGGGGATAATGCTGATGAAACCTGATTAGTTCACCCCACTGTATGATCTGTACCAAAGGAGCTAGCTGTGCAAGAAATCACAGTCCTAAAAAGTGGAAAACCTCTGGTGAGCAAGTTAAGGTTGTTCCTATGGGTGTTGGAGTATCCTAAGTTGCTCGAGCAGCACTTATGTGGCAAATAAACCAAGGTCTTACTGACCTTAGCAGCATTACAAGGCAATCTTCACACAAGGATTGATCACTCCTAAACAATTTCCCCAATGCA